TTTGTTATCATTTTCTAGATGATGATTGTTTAAGTTCTGTGTTATATTCGATCTGCCTCTAAGTCTGCGTCTGTACCTGTCTGTCTATGGTGTCTCCCCATCTGTTTGTGAATCTGTCTGTTTAGTTCAATGTCTTGTCTGGTTCCATGTATCTGAGTTTCCTGTCTTATTGTGAAGGTCCGTGTCGTATGTGAGTGTGATCAGTTTACATTTCCCCTGTCCCGTCAGCCCAGATTCCTCCCAGCTGTGTTGCCCTCTTGTCTCTCATCCCCTGATTACTGGTGTGTGCATTTAAGCCCTGTGTGTTCTCCTGCCTGTTGCCGGTTCGTCTGTATTACTCAGTGTCAGTCTGTGTAGCCACCGTGTCTTCTCCCTGCTGTTCATCGTCATCCTCCTCTGCTCGTTTTCATTCAGGTTTGTGCTTTTGTGTTCAATAAATCACCTTCACTCCTCTACGACTGCCTGTGCTTGGATCCTCATTTATTCCACACGGCTCGCCTCGGCAGCCGTGACAATGTCTGTCTCCACGTTGGTTGAGTGTGGAGTAAGTGCATATGAGAGCATGAGGGTGGGAATGGATGTTTGTGTCTGTGTGTGCCTGTATGTCTGTGTCTATATGTCAGGCTGGGTATCAGACGCCACCTCTCTGGGGACATCTCAGGCCCTCCAAGGTTTGGAGGCCTATCTCCCCCCACCACCACTTCCCCTGCCAGTGGCGGACTCCCTCAGACATCGGTGCGTTGGAGGTTCTTTGTGTCCGGGAGTGGGCGTCCAGGTACACACCGGCTCACTCCTTGGCAGCCGCTTATCGGGGCCTGGAGCCTGGGGCTCGCTCGGGCCACTTCGGAGGTGGGGTGCCCCCGGCCTCTCGGCCTGGGGCTCGGTCACTCAGGCGCAGCTGGGGGCCGGCGGAGCTCACGGGCGCGTCACTGCAACCCCCCCTGGCTTCTGCTCCGCGGCTGCTGAGTGAGCCCTCATCTGGGACTCTCCTCAGCTCTTTCTGGGACAGTGGCGCGGCTGCCCCTCTGTTGGTCTTCCTTGGTCTCTTGTGTTCTGGGGCCTCTGGATGTCTGGAGTTTTGATCTCCTCCATACCTGCTTCATGCCCTGGAGGACGGGGCTGTGGCCCCCCCACACCCTCTAGCAGATCATTACATGAAGGAACCTTTTAAAAACAAGCGCGTCCATGCTCACAGGTGTACACACGGGTGATCACACCCACAAACTACACCCTTTTTGGCTCCTACCTCAAAGCACACTGTGTTCTGTTGATCTTATGTGCTGCACAATAATGTTTAATATTTAGTATTTACTGTCATATTCCCATATATCATTGTGATGTTGTTTATTCTATTACTCTTGTTCTCTTCTGCTTGCTTTCTTTTTTCTTTCTCAGCAGGTGATCCAGGTGATTGATAGATGCATTTTTTTTTTGTCTGTTTATTCTGTTGATTTTTGTTTTTTGCCCTTCTCCCCCGTCCCTCTTCCCCGCTGTTTTTCTTTCCCTCTTTCTTTCTCCTTTTTCTTTTCCCCAGTCAAGTCTGTCCCGTATCTAGCAAGTGAAAATAAAAAATAAACAATAAAAGGTGAATCAAATAGACCATTACGGCTGGGATGGTCTATTTGGTAAAGTAAATCCGTTGGGCATCTTTCTTTGCCTTTAGACAACAATTCTGATGCAAAAGAGCCAAACGGGACAGGCAGAAAAAACAAAAAGTATATTTAACCACAAATTTCCGATAAGAAAATTTAAAGTTAAGTTTTGCTCTGTGTTTATTCTGCTTTTGTGATGCAAAGCTACGCTACTGCAGTCCCAGAGCTTGAAACGAGCAAAAGTCCAGAGTTTGAATATAAAATGAAAATGATTTCCAGACTTGGACGTAGCTAAATCCCATGAAGCTGCTGTTCGTGCGTATATGTGTACTAACAGAATGTCTCTCTGCATGCACGTAAATGTTCCTGTGCACATCAGCACGCATCATAAAACAAACACAACAAACAAAAAAACCTGATAAATGGAAGCATGTGACTCAGACTGTGATGCTGTTTTCTTTATATGAACTGAAACTGTTCATGTGCCTCATGCAAGCTTTCACTTCATGATTCCATAATGTTGCTCCACAGTTGGAAACACGTCTTCATTTTAAAACAGTCCCATTAATGTCCCAGTCTGACCCTCACATTTCCACGTTGACCTGGAAATAATGAAAATGTGGAGGATTCAGAAACATTCAAAGGTATTTTAAACTGCAGCCACAGATCGGGATCACTCGAGTCCAAACACAGTGAGTGCTCCATCAGCACATCAACATGTGGAGCTAAATTCAATCTGTAAAGACACATAAAATATAAGTAAAAATAAAAGGTGTAAAACCGGTTGGGAAGTGGTCTCTGTTTCTCTGCTTCGTCTACGTGACAGGAAACACTTAGTTTAGAGATGACGGTTTTCTCAGAACTTCCTGTTTTACTCTCTGTGTGCAGTCAGTCTGAGGATGAGGCCCGCTACATGCATCACAGCCCTCGTATCTTATCAGTGTTATTCAGAGATGGGCGCGTTACTGTAATCTGATTACTTTTTTCAGGTAACGAGTAAAGTAAGGGATTACTATTGCAAAAACAGTAATTAGATTACCGTTACTTTCCCGTAGGAACGCTGCGTTACTGCGTTACTAAAACCGTGATTTTCCTGCGAGTGTCTCATGACAGTGACGTAAGCAAGTGCGCCGTTCATGACAACAGCTGTGTGCAGATCAACAATGGATCACATATCGAGTGCAGAGAGAGTATGAGCGTGCAGCGTTTAAAGCGTGGAAGTACTGACCTTACTTTGAGTTTGATTCCATATAAAGTGACAAAAACATTAGTGTCCGCTGTGCGTGGGAAGAAAACTTCTTTTTACAGCGAAAAAACCCCTAAACTTCCAACAAGCACCGAGTAGCTACGACGTAATGGGAACCTCACAGAGAAACTCACGGATTCTTCCACTGACCGCGGCACACCTGCACCAGGGTAAACCTCCGCCTACCCCACTCCTGCTGTACAGGTGAAAATAGAGCAACAGGACCGCTGAGTCTTTGACTTTATTTATTTTCTGCTGTGTTTTACTTGCATCTATTTGAAAGACTGAGTGTAAACACAAAAAATATTTTATTTTATGTGCTGGAATGTGCAGAAAATAGGTTTAAATGTTAAACTAATTTATTCAACTCAGAGAATGTTGCAGATAATTAAATGTTTGCTTGATGCATAAAATTAAAAGATTAAAACTAATAAACAAGTTTTAAAAAGAGACTTTTCCATTTGATTACATTTTGTGTGATGGATTATGTAGAAAAAGTAGAATTGGGCTGAAAGATCTATCACTTTATCACCTCTTCAGGGTGTAAATCGTGTTTTTAAAAAGTAACTAAGTAACTAAGTAATTAATTACTTTTGAAAATAAGTAATCAGTAAAGTAACGGGATTACTTTTTTGGGGAAGTAATCGGTAATTAGTTACTGATTACTTTTTTCAAGTAACTTGACCAACACTGGTGTTATTCAGTTTAAACCAAATGTTTGCAGATGTGGGGCAGCATGGTGTGGGGCCACAGTGGGCCCATGCCTGGGCCACAGTGGGGTAACAAATAATACCATAAAACAGACTCTCGCTCACAGCTGCAAAAGTCAAACTCTGCACAGGCAACTGTGCTACACATAAGTACCAGCTATGTTACAGCGGCTGAATGAAGAGAGCTGTCCAAGAGCAGCTTCATGAGGTCTGCACCAGCCTGATGCTCCGCTACGTTTCTTAATGACTGTTTTAAAGGCCTGTGCTGCAGGTTTGGGAGGCGCACACAAGCTTCAGTTCATGGTCGGCTTATCAGCGTTTTTGAAATGATGCCATGCTTTTATTTTCCAGTTGAATTAAAAGCGCCTCATATACAGTATGGCGACGTCCTTCTCTCAGCCTTATATCACATATGAGACGTAAAACATGTGCTGCTTTCACCTTCTTACTGTCTCCTGTGTGGTGTTTCCTTGTTATTACATCGTAGCAGACATGCAGGTGTGGGTGACCTGTAGGGCTGTGTGGGCGGGGCCACATGTGTCTGAAGCGGGTCTCCTCACAGAAACGCCATTGAAGGGCTGTGAAGTAAACAAAGTCTGAGTATTTAGAAACCTTAAATATGTTTGATATTGTTCATTATTTAAATGTCAGAAATCAAACTGAAGCAGGTTTGAGTCAGAGACCCGAGCATCAGCACTGCCATGATCCTGGAGCGTTTTGTGTTTATTCTAATTTTGCTGTTAGTTCTCAGGGTTTGGTTCTTGTGTTTAGTGCTCAAGTGTTTTATCAGCCCTTCCTGTGTCTCCCTCTGTGCTCTGTTCATGTCCCCGAGTCATGTAGTAAAACAGTCTGTGTGTTTCCTGTTTTACTTTGTAGGTTGTGTTGTCTCGTTCCTGTGGGCCATGTCCTGATTACCGGTGTGTGTATTTATGGTGTGTGTCTGCCTGTGCTCCTCGTCGCGTCGTCTGTGTTTCTCTGCATTAGTTGGTATCTCTCCGTGTTTCTCTGTTCCATCTCGTGTTTCAGGTTTATTCGTTTTTCCTAGTTTAGGTTCGTGTCTTCGTGCAGTCCTCGACACCCTCATTTCTCTGTATATTTCACACGTTGTAAATAAAACGCTCACCTGCATCTAGCAGTTTCCTGCATCTTGGGTCCTCATTTAACTCCACCACACGACTGCTGCCCCAGCTGTGACAAGCACACTGTGAAAAGCAGCTTCGTCACAGAGACAGGCTTTGATGAAGACCACCAGACTCCAGCAAACGTCCTGATTGACAAACATGAAAACACAAAGAAAACAGGCAGTAAAATGTGTGAAACCCTGAGGTGGCCCTGGGCTCGCTCACATATTTATTCTTCTCTTTAACTAACAGGAAATGATCAATTTAGAAATGACACATTTGACACTTCCTGAATTTGTTGTTTGACGGCTTCATTTCTTTGTCAGTCTGAGGATGTGGCCGCAGCGTTTCTCCCTCATTCTGAGTGCGATCGTCTCAGGTAAGAACTTTGAATCTGGGTTGAAGCAGGATGGCACCAGAGAGGATCATAAGACTCACAGTAGAGATATCCTGACTTTAGATCTGGATTTTCCTTTAAGTCATTCATTCAGACACACAGGACATAAGAATTTAATGAGGAACGGCTTTGTATTTCCGTCACTGAAAGTCACGGCGGTCGGTGGTGAACACCACAGCACAGAGGTTAGAGCTTTTTCAAACCAGGCCACAGATGGATAAACGTGTCCTCGTTGGACCAGGAGCGTCTCTGAAGGCCGAGGGGCTCCTGGTCCAGACGCAGCAGGCTGGAGGATGTTCTGCAGGTCTTATAGAACCTGCTGCTGGTGTCTCAGAGCATCTTCAGAGGTCTGCTAGAGTCCCAGTGTCGCTGGTTGGAGCTGTGCAGTGAGTTCAAACATGAAAATAACCATCCAGATGTGTTCTGTCAGGTTCTGTCTCAGCTGGATGGAAGCTGACCGTCTCTCCAGGGGTCAGAGTCTCCAGAGGGGAAGATGCTGTCCTCGGCTGCTTCTTCACCCCCACACGGGATTATTCAGGAATGATCAAGGTCACATGGAAGTTCATAGCATCAAACACTCCTCCGTTCTTGGACTGTCCAGTAAAAAATTATTCCATGCATGGAGCCAATCCCTGTGCATTTTCCGATTTAAAACATTCCCTGAAAGGAGACCCTCGATGGGGGAATGGGTCGCTCCTCATCAGGGATGTACAGCTGACTGATAACGGCACGTACTTCTGCAGAGTGAAGCTCGACGGGTGGAAGAACTTTAAGGAAGCAAAGACAAAGCTTTATGTTGGAGGTAAGGTTGAGTTCAGCTTTTACTGAAAGTTATCAAAGTTGTATGAGTCACTTTCTTCTGTGGTGCAAAGACTGTAATGAAAGATAGCCACACAGCGACCTTCTGACTCTGCCGAGGTTTGAGTCACACTGGACTGTAAATTATTCTTGTGCATGCGTGAAACGCAAGAAGATTCGACCTGCCTCATTTCTGTCTGCCGCTTATTTACTTTCCCGCTCTCTGAAACGTGGCGGCAAAATGTCGAGGGAAAGCAGCGAGTGTGTTAAATGGACTAACAATGAGGTGGAGTTGTTGCTGCGAGTAACACAAAAGTACAAAGTTGCAAAAGCGAGTGAGAATTAAAGAATTTGAAGAAAAGCTCTCTGGAGCGTGTGCAGGCTGATATTAATCTTTAACAGGGCTGTCAAACAAAACAACTGCTGTATAACGCCCTCCACTATCTTTGTTTAATTCAATTCAATTTTATTTATATAGCGCCAAATCACAACAAAAGTCACCTCAACGCGCTTCATAGATACAGAGAAAAACCCAACAATCATATGACCCCCTATGAGCAGCACTTTGGCGACAGTGGGAAGGAAAAACTCCCTTTTAACAGGAAGAAACCTCCGGCAGAACCAGGCTCAGGGAGGGGCGGGGCCATCTGCTGTGATTGGTTGGGGTGAGAGAAGGAAGACGGGATAAAGAGATGCTGTGGAAGAGAGACAGAGGTTAATAACAGATATGATTCAATGCAGAGAGGTCTATTAATGCATAGTGAGTGAGAAAGGTGACTGGAAAGGGAAAACTCAATGCATCATGGGAATCCCCCGGCAGCCTACGTCTATTGCAGCATCACTAAGGGAGGATTCAGGGTCACCTGGTCCAGCCCTAACTATATGCTTTAGCAAAAAGGAAAGTTTGAAGCCTAATCTTGAAAGTAGAGATAGTGTCTGTCTCCTGAATCCAAACTGGAAGCTGGTTCCACAGAAGAGGGGCCTGAAAACTGAAGGCTCTGCCTCCCATTCTACTTTTAAATACTCTAGGAACAACAAGTAGGCCTGCAGAGCGAGAGCGAAGTGCTCTAATAGGGTGATATGGTACTACAAGGTCATTAAGATAAGATGGGGCCTGATTATTTAAGACCTTGTATGTGAGGAGCAGGATTTTGAATTCTGGATTTAACAGGAAGCCAAAACAGGAGAAATCTGCTCTCTCTTTCTAGTCCCTGTCAGGACTCTTGCTGCAGCATTTTGGATTAGCTGAAGGCTTTTCAGGGAGTTTTTAGGACTTCCTGATAATAATGAATTACAGTCGTCCAGCCTGGAAGTAATAAATGCATGAACTAGTTTTTCAGCGTCACTCTGAGACAGGATATTTCTAACTTTAGAGATGTTGCACAAATGGAAGAACGCAGTCTTACATATTTGTTTAATATGTGCATTGAAGGACATGTCCTGGTCAAACATGACTCCAAGGTTCCTCACAGTGTTACTGGAGGCCAAGGTAATGCCATCCAGAGTAAGAATCTGCTTAGATACCATATTTCTAAGCTTTTCAGGGCCGAGTACAATAACCTCAGTTTTATCTGAATTAAGAAGCAGAAAGTTAGCGGCCATCCAGGTCTTTATGTCTTTAAGACATTCCTGCAGTTTAACTCATTGGTGTGTGTTATCTGGCTTCATGGACAGATAGAGCTGGGTGTCATCTGCATAGCAGTGTAAATGTATGCTATGTCTTCTAATGATGCTGCCTAAGGGAAGCATGTATAATGTAAACAGAATTGGTCCTAGCACTGAACCCTGTGGAACTCCATAATTAACCTCAGTGTGTGAAGAGGACTCTCCATTTACATGCACAAACTGGAGTCTATTAGATAGATATGATACAAACCACTGCAGTGCAGTACCTGTAATACCTACAGCATGTTCTAATAATTGGCCACATGACTGCATCACATGGCTAACATGCGTCATCATTTTCAAAAGTCTCCGTTTTTGCTGTCCACACTACGACGCGAAAGCACCGTTTTCAAAATGCTTCGTATTCCTTCGGGGAAAACGCGTCTCAGTGTGGACGGGAGGGCAAATGGAGAGAAAACGATGTTTCCAAACTAAAACGCATTCGTGTGGTCGTAGCCGCAGGCTCATGGCTGGAAGCCAATGAACAAACAGGGTGAATGGAGCAGAGAGCGTTTCATGCCAGGCTGGTTTAAGGTGTCACATGATGGAAAACCATTTTTAATCAGATCACTTTTCTGCTTCTTGTTCCCAGCTGAGCCTCACATCCTGAACCTCTCTGTGGTGGAGATGCCCTGTGGCTCAGACAGCGCCCCCCGGAGGCTGCAGTGTCAAGCTGAAGGTAACCCGCCGCCTAAGATTGTGTGGCTGTTGGCCTCCAGACGCATGTTAGAGAACAAGGGTGAGTCCTCACAGTCCAGCCCGTACCATGTGACCAGCTGTGTGCCGTACCTGGAGGAGGAGGAGCTCACCTGCAGGGCGGAGAGTGCACTAAACCACACGGAGAGGACGTATCCAACCAGAGAGCCTCAGGATCAGAGTGAAGAGAGTGAAGAGAGCGACTCTCTGAAGATCCCTCTGATCGTGCGTGGTGTCATCACTCTCCTGATCCTGATCGCAGGAATCGTCTTTTACTGCCTGAGTGAGCTCCTGTTTCTACTCAGTGCTGCCAGGTTCTCTTAGTGGTCACTCCAGATATTGCAACATAAAACAACCTGTGGCCTGTTCAGAGCTTAGTTTGAGGCAGCTGGAGTCTTTCAGTCATTGTTGTCATCTTGTTTGTGTGTGAAGGAAACAGTTGTCAGCAGCAGGTCTCAGACTCCGCAGCAGGAAATCCTCAGACAGTTCATTCAGCCGGCGCCATGTCCGACTCCACTTCCCGTGAGTCCCAAAGCTTCTAAAGTTTCAGCTTTTTCATGGATGTGAAAAGAAATCAATAAAGAATTCATTGATCTGAAACAACAACGCTGAGGGGCCAGCATGAGACCAAGAAGGATAATTTTAGACAGTGAATGTGGGAACGAGCAGAGCAGGTCACCTTTATGCACAGACCTGAGAGGACCTGTAGCAGCGAGTCCATCCGTGAGGATTCTCTGCTGTTTCGACTGGAAATGAAACGAATCCTGTGAGCAAAGCAGCTGTTTTCACCTCAGATGAGATTTTTTTTCTTTCAGCTCCAGAAACCAACGAGGAAGCAGGTGAGTGAGGAGCTGACAGCTGACAGAGCGACCAGGTGAGACCATACTGTAAAAGTGCTCTGAGTGTCCACACATAAACAACACAGCAAGGTAACAGCTGGTTTCACACCTGCCTCGTCTTCCTCACCTGAGCTGTTACTAATGGAAACAGCAGAACCTCCACATTCCTGATGCTCGCATCATTTGATAATCATGCTGTGACAGATGATATCTTTATTTTGGTCAGGCTAAACATGTCTCATTTTTGCTCCTTCGTTATTCTGACGAAATAAGAAATGATCTGAATCTGCGCCAATGAAAACCAAAAATATGACTGTACAGTATAAAAGGCATTAAAGTCACTTTCAGCTCTGCAGCACCATGATATTGATATTGTCATCTGATAATGGCTTTAATGGCTGAACTCTTCATTTCGTTTCAGGGTCATGTGCCATCTGAGGAACTCCAGGTGTGGAAAAACACCAGTCAGAAAACATTGTCCTGTTCTCAGGAACAACCCAGTGAGACGAGGCCCGGCTGTTTTTCCCAAGAGCCTGAAGACTTTTAATGATTTACTGTCCACAGAAGTACAGCAGCATCCTGTCAAAGCTTTGTAAAGCCAGTCTTCTCTTCTTTTCCATTTAAGCTTTGTCTTCAGCACAAACAGCAACAGAGTTCCTGACATTTATAAGCACAATTAAGATATTCAGTCACATTGTTTTTACTGAGCTATTGCACAAACCATTACATCATTCCTTTATTCTGCTGTGTTTTAAGGAGAGATTGATTTTGTTTCCAGTGTTGTGGAGAAAACTTGTAATGAAGACAGAAAAAAATAAACATTCAAACACAGTCTGTGATTGGTCAGACGACACAAACTCACCAGTGTGGTGAGTTTTATTGTAAAACTTGTCAGCGAATGACTCAATTAAAAATCATTAAATCTGTTTTAACATGTGAAGCTCGACTCGTGTTGTTTTGTTTCTACAATCACATCCAAACACAACAATAACACTCACAGCTGACATGTTTTTAAATTGAAAACGTTTGTTTTTTTCTGAAACCCAAGTTCTGAAAAGGTTGGCGCACAGTGTAAAATGTAACAATAGAACGCTAATTTTTAGAATCTCATGAACTTCATTTATAAACGACAACAAACATATCAAATCTTTAAACTAAGAACATTTACCATATTAAAAGAAAAACACGCCCACTGATGTCAGAAACGTTTAAAAAAAGGTAAGTGGTACTAAAGTGAAACAGCTGGACGAACATTTTTGTAACTAACCGGACTAACTGGCATCAGGTCAGTAACATGGTCGTGGCCGATGGCCCCGCCCCTCCCTGGTTCTGCAGTTTTCTTCCTGTTAAAAGGAAGTTTTTCCTTCCCACTGTCGCCAAAGTGCTTGCTCATTGGGAAACGTGATCGTTGATGTTTTGTCAGTTTTCTGTGTTATTGTAGGACCTCTACAGCACTGCAACAGTTGGTTACCCTTAATATTTGCACATCCTCTACAGTGAAAATACCAAAATTACAAAGTTTTACAGTTTAGAGTAAAATGTCAACCATATAGATTTAATTTGTTTAATATTCTGGACCCTACCCCGGTCCAGGAGGGACATACAGCATTCTGGTAAGGTGTCAAGATTGGACAAGGGCTGCATGCAGTCTCTGGTCCACCAAACCCTTGTTCACCCCGGGCCATTAGTGGAGGCAGAGTGGATGGAGGTTAAATGTGGGCATGGGGACGTCCACAAATAGATACATAGTGCTGCTGCTGATTAAATTGAAAGGAAAAACACATGAAATAAAGGCTGCAGTAAGCTCATGCCTGTTGCATCCCCTGATTTTGGGAACAAATTTTTAATTAGAGACCTCACGACCTCCCCCAAACACTTTCTTGATGTAGCTGAGATGGTCAGTACTTGGAGGTGGTGTGGAGGGGGAACCAAAGGTTTTGAGCAATAAATGCTGTAGCTGCAAATACCTCCAAAACTGAATCTGTGGTTTAAGGTCATTAAAGGACGTGAGAATTCTCCCCTGATACAGGTCTCCAAGAACAAGTATCCCTCTCTAGACCCACAGTCTCCAGGAAAATGGAGACTTATTAATGCAGAGTGTTGGACTGAGTCATATGGAGACCTCTGTCACAATCTGCGAGGCAGATCGTCAGGAGATGAATGATGTGGACCCAAACGCAAGCACTGACGACAGCGTAGCTGCGACAAAGTTTATTAATAAAGGAAAACAAAATACAAACCAAGGCAGAGCATGGCAGGGAACGGCACTAACCAAACCTAAACTGGGAACAGCTACAAAATAATAATACAAGGACCAAAAAAACCTGCAATAAGAAACCTGAAAACCTGAGACGTGGAACCTGGAACATGGAGAGACACACAGCAGAAATACAGGGGAAGGTACGCAGACGAACCAACTAACAGAGGCAAACACAAGGCTTAAACACAGAGGCATGAACAGGACCAGATGGCAGCATGGGAGCTGGTGGCTGAACAGACTCACCGGAGCCGTCAACAGACACGAGGAGATGCTGGCCAGGCTCACCAGAACCCCCAGCTGATGTGGCGTGATGCTGGCGCGGTTCTCCTGAACCCCCAGTGGGAACAGAAGGCAACTGGACGGGCCCCTCAGACCCTCCGGCAGAGGCAGAAACAGGACCAGCAGGTACGAAGACCTCTGGTAGAGATGGCTCTGCCCAGGCAGTTACAGCAGGATGAAGTCCTCAGCTGGCCAAATGAACTCACTATAGCTTCCAGCAGAGGACGGCTGCTGAGACAGCCCAGTAAAGCTCTCAGGAAAAACAGGTTGCACTGGCTTCTTCGTCTCCAGGGTCCAGAGTCACCTAGAGCTGAACCTCAGCCTCTGGAGAGGCCCTGGAGAGAGTAACGGTCTCTAAATCGACCAGCTCTTGAACACCGAAATCAGAAGACTAAGAACTTCAACCCTAAAATACCCCCAAACCAAGAACTGATAAATCATGACAAAAATCTATCTCAGTAGCAATACAGAAAACAAAACACTGGGTCACAGACCCAGGGACCGTGAGAGCTTCAGTATGAAGGTGGGAGTTAAAATTCAGTAAAAGGCCACCTTCTTCCAGACCGTCTGCAGGAATGAAAGAAGGGGTGGGTTTGTATATCTGCTCAGAGCTTGGTGGTTAAAATGTGCATCGGAGGGAGTGGTGAGCACAAAGTACTCTCCAGACTAAACCATGGGGGGGCTCGCTCTGGAGGGAGGGCCAGTGAACCATGTGTCTCAGACTGAAAGCATAATGGTAAAACAGTAAATCTGGGACCCCCAGGCCTCCCAGGGCCTTCTCAAACATGTACATCATTAGCTTTCACCAAGGGTTCCTTGCTAGCGCCATTTTGCTGTCGAAGCGTACGTTTTTGTCTGTGACTCGGCAATATGAGCTTTCACAAAGACTCTTCAAGCTTCCCGCTCTCCTGAGGCGATATTTCCTGCGTACTGTTCTAAATCTAAAGCAAATCAGCTGCCACTGTGATGGAGCTTCCCCATTCAAGCTGCCATCTTGACCGCCTACGCAATGTTCCCTCTGAGCTGCGCGTGCGCAATTATGCACTACTGGCACGTCTCTGCGCACAGAAAATCTGCATTGCGCACAAAAAAAATCCAACCTGATTTGAAATTTAAACTTTAACAATCCTGTTCTGCAGTGTGAGTCAGTGACTGGCTGCTCCTGTATGGGATCAGAACGATGCCACCTTATCCCACAGTCCAGCCAATGATGCAATTCACACTCGTATATACGCACCTGATCCACGTGGTTGACAGGCTATGACAGCGTCCTTATGTGCCGGTGTTTTAGCGAGCAAAGCGGCTGATGAGGAGTGAAGCCACGTTAATGACAACGTGTACAACCATTGGAGATGTGAGCAGGACAGACGGAACAACTGACGGACAAAGTGTGGACTTTATACCAGTTTGTAAATTGTGTTGATCGGCCGCGTAAAACCAGAGTTATGATAAAATATCTGCAATGTTTGTTTTTCTTCCTGAATACTGTCGTTGTTTATATTTACTGCAGGAAGAAACGGTAAAAACTGCGTTTGATAAGGAAAACGCTCGAAAGCCTGCGAGCAAAGACGAAACCAAAGAACCTCAGCCTTTCCTATTGGTGGACAAATGTACCATGTGGACCAATCAAAAAATAACAGAACAGCTGATTGTTCTGTAAATAGTTTGAAATGTTTATTTAAAAAAACCCTTGGCTGCATATTCAGGTAAACAGCTGCAAAAAACTCAGTTACTTCTTTGAAGAAGTAACTGTATCATTAACTGCCCAACATTGGTCATTATTTACTGTATGTTGCAGACAGAGTTACAGACTCTCTCCCAGACTCAGACTCAGAATACAGTCAGAGCTTTATTGGAGTTGAAGTTATTTTTGCTTCCAATAGTGTTAACATGCTGCAGGTCATGAACAAGATTTATTTTTTAAATTTCATTGTAAGTGGGCTAAAGCAGTTAATTAAAAGTAGTCTAACATAAATGCTGTAATTTGATTAGTTTAATAAAACATGTGACTTGGATGATTCGATGCTGGCGTGACCACAGTGCACGTCTGCTGTCGCTCACAGTGGTCCGAGTGTCCGCTCAGGGAGTTTGTGTGTTCAGACACGTGAAACATTAGAGGGAACGTTGCGCCTACGTCACCAGACTCCGGGACAAAGGAGTTTTGAAGTGTGTTGGTCCTTTACTCCGGGAGAAGCAACCTGTCGCTAAACAGACTCCTCTGGTTGTTTAGGGTCTACTTTTTAATGCACAGGTACGGTCACACAATCTGCACCTTTCTAATCATTCTAAATATTCTCAACTATTTAAACATCTTTCAGTATCCTGCTCTGTTTGCACACTACAGCCTGGCTTTGCCACTCACCTGTATTCTAATTTTAATACCTGTACAGTACTCTGCTTTGGTAACTATGGTCCATGATGTAAATATGTAAAAATGTTTTTCTGTTCTGTTTGTATATGTGTGTTTTTGCTGCTGATATAACCAAATTTCCCTTGTGGGACAATTAAAGGATTATTCTATTCTTTTGTATTCGACTATATTCAGGATAATTCACTAGAAGACAGTCAAAACAGGAACCACAGACTCAAATGAATCAAGAATCGAGCAGAGAAATCATCACAGTGACAAGCACACTGTGAAAAGCAGCTTCGTCACAGAGACAGGCTTTGATGAAGACCACCAGACTCCAGCAAACGTCCTGATTGACAAACATGAAAACACAAAGAAAACAGGCAGTAAAATGTGTGAAACCCTGAGGTGGCCCTGGGCTCGCTCACATATTTATTCTTCTCTTTAACTAACAGGAAATGATCAATTTAGAAATGACACATTTGACACTTCCTGAATTTGTTGTTTGACGGCTTCATTTCTTTGTCAGTCTGAGGATGTGGCCGCAGCGTTTCTCCCTCATTCTGAGTGCGATCGTCTCAGGTAAGAACTTTGAATCTGGGTTGAAGCAGGATGGCACCAGAGAGGATCATAAGACTCACAGTAGAGATATCCTGACTTTAGATCTGGATTTTCCTTTAAGTCATTCATTCAGACACACAGGACATAAGAATTTAATGAGGAACGGCTTTGTATTTCCGTCACTGAAAGTCACGGCGGTCGGTGGTGAACACCACAGCACAGAGGTTAGAGCTTTTTCAAACCAGGCCACAGATGGATAAACGTGTCCTCGTTGGACCAGAAGCGTCTCTGAAGGCCGAGGGGCTCCTGGTCCAGACGCAGCAGGCTGGAGGATGTTCTGCAGGTCTTATAGAACCTGCTGCTGGTGTCTCAGAGCATCTTCAGAGGTCTGCTAGAGTCCCAGTGTCGCTGGTTGGAGCTGTGCAGTGAGTTCAAACATGAAAATAACCATCCAGATGTGTTCTGTCAGGTTCTGTCTCAGCTGGATGGAAGCTGACCGTCTCTCCAGGGGTCAGAGTCTCCAGAGGGGAAGATGCTGTCCTCGGCTGCTTCTTCACCCCCACACGGGATTATTCAGGAATGATCAAGGTCACATGGAAGTTCACAGCATCAAACACTCCTCCGTTCTTGGACTGTCCAGTAAAAAATTATTCCATGCATGGAGCCAATCCCTGTGCATTTTCCGATTTAAAACATTCCCTGAAAGGAGACCCTCGATGGGGGAATGGGTCGCTCCTCATCAGGGATGTACAGGTGACTGATAACGGCACGTACTTCTGCAGAGTGGAGCTCGACGGGTGGAAGAACTTTAAGGAAGCAAAGACAAAGCTTTATGTTGGAGGTAAGGTTGAGTTCAGCTTTTACTGAAAGTTATCAAAGTTGTATGAGTCACTTTCTTCTGTGGTGCAAAGACTGTAATGAAAGATAGCCACACAGCGACCTTCTGACTCTGCCGAGGTTTGAGTCACACTGGACTGTAAATTATTCAGCGGTGACCTGTAGCCGTCCATCCTGCAGGCTTCTCTGTGCAGCTGAAGATCCAACATCCAGAGATACAAGTTGTTCTGAAGATTGTTGTCAAACCTGCGTCTGAAGCCAGACTCTGACTCAGGCTACGTCCACACTAGATTTGAAAACGGCGTCCAAACTATCGTTTTCAGTCGTTTTCACAGAGTTGTGCGTTCACATTGAAATGGCCGTAAACACTCACGTCACAGTCCTGTGCATGTGTGAAACGCAAGAAGATTCGACCTGCCTCATTTCTGTCTGCCGCTTATTTACTTTCCCGCTCTCTGAAACGTGGCGGCAAAATGTCGAGGGAAAGCAGCGAGTGTGTTAAATGGACTAACAATGAGGTGGAGTTGTTGCTGCGAGTAACACAAAAGTACAAAGTTGCAAAAGCGAGTGAGAATTAAAGAATTTGAAGAAAAGCTCTCTGGAGCGTGTGCAGGCTGATATTAATCTTTAACAGGGCTGTCAAACAAAACAACTGCTGTATAACGCCCTCCACTATCTTTGTTTAATTCAATTCAATTTTATTTATATAGCGCCAAATCACAACAAAAGTCGCCTAAAGGCGCTTCATAGATACAGAGAAAAACCCAACAATCATATGACCCCCTATGAGCAGCACTTTGGCGACAGTGGGAAGGAAAAACTCCCTTTTAACAGGAAGAAACCTCCGGCAGAACCAGGCTCAGGGAGGGGCGGGGCCATCTGCTGCGACCGGTTGGGGTGAGAGAAGGAAGGCAGGATAAAGACATGCTGTGGAAGAGAGACAGAGATTAATAACAGATATGATTCAGTGCAGAGAGGTCTGTTAACACATAGTGAGTGAGAAAGGTGACTGGAAAGGAAAAACTCATTGCATCATGGGAATCCCCCGGCAGCCTACATCTATTGCAGCATAACTAAGGGAGGATTCAGGGTCACCTGGTCCAGCCCTAACTATATGCTTTAGCAAAAAGGAAAGTTTGAAGCCTAATCTTGAAAGTAGAGATAGTGTCTGTCTCCTGAATCCAAACTGGAAGCTGGTTCCACAGAAGAGGGGCCTGAAAACTGAAGGCTCTGCCTCCCATTCTACTTTTAAATACTCTAGGAACAACAAGTAGGCCTGCAGAGCGAGAGCGAAGTGCTCTAATAGGGTGATATGGTACTACAAGGTCATTAAGATAAGATGGGGCCTGATTATTTAAGACCTTGTATGTGAGGAGCAGGATTTTGAATTCTGGATTTAACAGGAAGCCAAAACAGGAGAAATCTGCTCTCTCTTTCTAGTCCCTGTCAGGACTCTTGCTGCAGCATTTTGGATCAGCTGAAGGCTTTTCAGGGAGTTTTTAGGACTTCCTGATAATAATGAATTACAGTCGTCCAGCCTGGAAGTAATAAATGCATGAACTAGTTTAGATACCATATTTCTAAGCTTTTCAGGGCCGAGTACAATAACCTCAGTTTTATCTGAATTAAGAAGCAGAAAGTTAGCGGCCATCCAGGTCTTTATGTCTTTAAGACATTCCTGCAGTTTAACTCATTGGTGTGTGTTATCTGGCTTCATGGACAGATAGAGCTGGGTGTCATCTGCATAGCAGTGTAAATGTATGCTATGTCTTCTAATGATGCTGCCTAAGGGAAGCATGTATAATGTAAACAGAATTGGTCCTAGCACTGAACCCTGTGGAACTCCATAATTAACCTCAGTGTGTGAAGAGGACTCTCCATTTACATGCACAAACTGGAGTCTATTAGATAGATATGATACAAACCACTGCAGTGCAGTACCTGTAATACCTACAGCATGTTCTAATAATTGGCCACATGACTGCATCACATGGCTAACATGCGTCATCATTTTCAAAAGTCTCCGTTTTTGCTGTCCACACTACGACGCGAAAGCACCGTTTTCAAAATGCTTCGTATTCCTTCGGGGAAAACGCGTCTCAGTGTGGACGGGAGGGCAAATGGAGAGAAAACGATGTTTCCAAACTAAAACGCATTCGTGTGGTCGTAGCCGCAGGCTCATGGCTGGAAGCCAATGAACAAACAGGGTGAATGGAGCAGAGAGCGTTTCATGCCAGGCTGGTTTAAGGTGTCACATGATGGAAAACCATTTTTAATCAGATCACTTTTCTGCTTCTTGTTCCCAGCTGAGCCTCACATCCTGAACCTCTCTGTGGTGGAGATGCCCTGTGGCTCAGACAGCGCCCCCCGGAGGCTGCAGTGTCAAGCTGAAGGTAACCCGCCGCCTAAGATTGTGTGGCTGTTGGCCTCCAGACGCATGTTAGAGAACAAGGGTGAGTCCTCACAGTCCAGCCCGTACCATGTGACCAGCTGTGTGCCGTACCTGGAGGAGGAGGAGCTCACCTGCAGGGCGGAGAGTGCACTAAACCACACGGAGAGGACGTATCCAACCAGAGAGCCTCAGGATCAGAGTGAAGAGAGTGAAGAGAGCGACTCTCTGAAGATCCCTCTGATCGTGTGTGCTGTCATCGCTCTCCTGATCCTGATCGCAGGAATCGTCTTTTACTGCCTGAGTGAGCTCCTGTTTCACTTTAGCACAGCTGCTGTGGTTCACATACTCCGGCTCATATTTCGGTTCTTTCCTCCTTTGTCACGTTTGTTCTGTCTGAAGGGCGCGATCATCCACAGCAGGTCTCACAGTCTGCAGCTCATGAAGAAGAATTTCAGGCATTTTATTCAGTGGCTGCGACGCCCGACTCCACTTCCTGTGAGTGTTTTTCATCCATCCTCTTCCACTTATCCTCGTCTTGATCGAGGGGCCGGAGCAGTCTGTCGCAGGTCTAACACAGGCTACATATTTACTAATTAAATTGTTTGACTCTTGATTTAATTTGATTCAATGTTTTTCATATATTTTTTTATTAGTATTCAATATTATTTTATTATTTATTTATTTTTATTTTTCAAAAACGTTTTGAGTCAGGTTTTGCTCACTTGCATTTTTATTTTGGAAATGTTTGATAGTTGTAGCTGGACGTCTGGAGCTCCTTTTAACTGCTCTGCACTGACTGACTGAAGTTCATTCATTGATTGGAACGAAACACAACTCATAAGCAGTGTTTGTATTATTAGAGAAGCAGCACAAATATTAAAATAAGTAAATGTTATTAAGTTATGACCATAACACCGCAGGCTGAAACCTTACATCACTTAGAAACATCATCAGCCAGTTTTTATGTCACGGCTGAGGCTGGTTGTTGTGGCGTGGACCCAAAATAAAGATCCTCTGGTGGCTTGGTGGGCGCCGGATGGATCTTGGAGGATGCCTGGCATGCTGGACAAGTCCCGACAACGCGTTGACCTCAGAATGAGCACCAACTCGGCAAAGCGTTGACCTCTGGCTGGGACGTGGCAAGGCCAGATGGCAGAATGGAAACCATAACCTGTTGAGCAGGTAGTGGCGTGGCAGCTGCAGGCATTGAGCTGAGGGCAGCATGGGTAGCTACAGAACGTTGAAGAGGTGGTGGGGCTGTAGATGACGACGTGAAGCCGCGGTTGAGCCAGCGGCATGGCGGGATGCTGGACGGCTCTCCAGAGCCCCAGCTCAGTTACTCCCAGGGGTCCGAGTTTACTGAAGCCTCCAGCTCAGCCTCTCCGAGGCCCCGGGCAGAGATTTTATCTCCGGAGGAGCCGGTTCATCCACACAAAAAACATCTTTAACATGATCGTCCCTGAAAGCATGATTTATCAGTCAGTGGTTAGTTTCTGTCTCTTGGGTGGCTCGTTCTGTCCCACCATTAGCATTACCAACTGTACACAAGTCTATAACTTAACTCACATAAGGAGTCAACAAAAATGGTCATGGCTGGCTCAACAACACGAGTTGTTATGCAGTTGTTAAGCCGTCTTGTCAGAAATTCCAGTCGTATGAATTGCAACAAGAGTTCTGGACTAACATCGCCATTCTGAGGTCTACTAACCCGGGACAGAGAGTACAAGCCTTTCACAGGTAGATTTGAGACTGTACTTTCAGATGCAGATCCTGGAGATGTAGCGACGCACTGAGTAGATTCTGAGCCTTCAACATTGGGAAACAGTCTGGAATCAGGATGTTCTGTCATGGCTGAGCAGCCGGGGTGTTGTGGCGTGGACCCAAAAGCAGACACGGGAGAGAAAACGAAGTATAACAGAAAAGCGAGCTGTTTATTAAGGCTGATATCAAACAGAAAACAAGGCAAGGCGAGCTGGGAAAAAACTAAATGAAACTCTAAACTGGGATAAACTAAGTCCTCACAGTCCAGCCCGTACCATGTGACCAGCTGTGTGCCGAACCTGGAGGAGGAGGAGCTCACCTGCAGGGCGGAGGGTGCACTAAACCACACGGAGAGGACGTATCCAACCAGAGAGCCTCAGGATCAGAGCGAAGAGAGTGAAGAGAGTGAAGAGAGTGAAGAGAGCTCCCACATGAATGAGAACAGGTGCATGCGAAAACTGAAAATGAACATGAACCGAAGCACGAAAGCAATCCTGAGACGTAAAGTACATGATACCAGACAAACAGACAACCTGACACTGAGCAGAGTAAGAAAGAGGACTTAAATACACAGAAGGGTAATGATGGAAGTGGAAACACCTGAGAAGCACAGCTGACAAACATGACGCCACAGGGGAAGTAAAACTAAACACACTGAACATGAGCGGCAGAGCCTCAAAATAAAAAAACTAAACAGGAAACATGGACATGGCAACACGAGCTCGACAACGTGGACACAGACATGAAACTCACGACAGACTGTGGAGACACGGAACAAGGAGGGACACACGGGAACAGATAAAGGAGACGAGCGCACAGGAATCACTAGATGTTAAACAAAGAGGACAAGACAGACGAACACAGAACAAAGGAAAAGACTCATAAACACAGAGATGAAACATAAGCTAACATTATCTCTGTATATAATAAACAATCAAAACACCAAAATAACTCAAAAAATGCTGGGACACAGACGCAGCCCCTGACAATGTATTAGAAAAATTATTCAGAAGTTTATAAAATCACAATCTCAAGGCCCAAATATTTAAAAAATGAACCACCTGATGTCAAAACGCAGTAAAAGTCCAGTCAAATCGTGACTATATAAAATATCACAAACTTCAAACGAGTCACCGATTATTAAAGGTTTCATAGTTTTTTATCAGAACGCTCAAACAGAAATGCAAACTGGACGATGGATCGTCCGCGGAGGATGACTGAGGCCCAGTGTGAGATACAGAAGGATTATTTTGGACTATGAATTATGCAAAGCTGCTCTAGCACCTGTTTGTATTATTGGTACAATATTTTACCTTACAATATAAAACTCATTGAGCCATCCGTTGTTGTGACTTGGCGCTATATAAATAAACCTTCTGTCTTCTGTTCTGCTCTCTGTGTTTGTATCTGAAGTGGAAAATCATGGTCAGCGGGTCTCAGCCTGTCCAGCTGAACGAGAGCAGCAGATGGTTTACTCAGTGGTCACCGTGCACGAACCCGCCTCCTGTGAGTTCTGCCCGAGAAACAAAGCTGCCTTTTAATAATGTGGTTAATTACTTTATCAACGGTCTTCATTTTTGCACCTTTTCTTTTTTATGTTTATTATTCATTCTTTATTACATGATTATATTTGTTGTTTTGTCACATTAGTCTGAGGGAGCGTTTTACTAATATATTTACTTCAGTGAAAATATCAGTGACATACTAACGATGTTTCACTGACGTCGGGGCAGCATGAGTACGAGCATTTTTTTTTTTGCCGATGCCCGTGATGCCGCCCCCACCACGATGCCACCCCGGGCAACCGCCCGTGTCGCCCGTATCTAAAACCGCTACTGGCTCAGTGTGTTGAGCGGGCGACTACATACCATACAGCTGACAGCAGCCAGCCCAGGTCCCACTCTGGCCCACGCTTTCCTGTCCTTTATTCTCCGTGTCTATCAAATAAAGCTGAAAGAGGCCAAAACAACTATTTAAATGGATAATCTAGTCTGCATATGATCAGAAATTTAAAGGACTCAACGTCTGTCTTAGTATGAGCGACTGAGCCCATAAACTCATCACAGTTGGTGAGGCAAAGGGTCATTTTCCTGTAGTCTGCTTTAGGAATTTAAGTCTTTTTCCAAATACATGTATCGCCCCCTGGTGGCAATTAGAAAGAATCCATGTTTCAGACACTTTTCATACTCGGGAGCTACGTCCATCTTTTATGCTGTCAGAGAGATCGACTGAAGGGCTTCACCAAAGCCCAGTATGGGATAAAGGAGGATTATTTTCCACTGTGAATCATGCAAAGCTGCCCTGGCAGTAATTAGCAGGTATCAGTGGCTATCCACACAGTTAATGCATGCAGCCTGACATCAAGTTAGCTACCCTAAGCTAACACTCCACCTTCTCGCCCAAACATGGTCACTTCTGTTTCCAAAAACCAGCACGGTTAAAGCCGAAAGACTGATGCTGACGATTAAAACCAGTCAGAAACCAGTGGGTGATGTCACAGTGGAAACATCCATCTTTTATATACAGTCTGTGGTTTTCCTCCAGAAAAGGTTAAAAACAAACACAGTTTGCTCAGTGTTTGCTCATTTTCTACTTTAGCTCAAACTTTCTGTAATTGCTGCTGTTTGTCTTCAACAACTCATAACTTTTATATTTACCTGATTTTTTTTCTGTTCTCGTCTCTGCACCTGAAGTGGAAAATCATCACCGGCAGGTCTCAGCAGGAAGAGAAGAGGAGCTTCAGGAGGTTTATTCAGAGGCCATTTCTATATCCTGTGAGTCCTGTGAGAACAGGAAGTTATTATCTCTGCTGACCTTATTTGTCATTGACAGAAGCAGCTTCATTCACACAAGCTGCTCCCAGACTTATTGTGACTCCTGCAGAGTTCAGCTTTTACTTTGAAACAATACTTCAAAGTACTGTTTCGAATTTTCACTTAGTGCAGCTATTTTCAGATAAATCAGCTTCCTGCATGCAAACTACACGACAACAGCAACCTGCCAGTGACCGAAGCAATCACAAGGAGGTTTTTGGTGAAAAAGCATAAATCTGTTTGCAACCGATTCTCACCCAGTGACAGCCGGCAATCTCCAGCAACCAGATGCCAACTGGTCTCTAGACGCGTCAGATGGTTTAACCGTGTGGTTCAGATGAAACACAACCCGTGGTCATTCTGGTGTGTGGACGCTGTGTCAAACAGACCTGAGATCAGACTTTAACGGCTGAACTGTTCTTTGTTTCAGGCGACTTGTACTCTCCAATGAACATCCACGACTGAGCGAGGTATTAAAAACAGCTCTGATTAACTTATAAACATATACTATGAATAAACAAAGAGCATCAAGTGTGATTCAGATGTGTGTTTATTTTCAGGAACAGCAGAAAAAGTCAGACTTGCCAAACAACCTGAATTTTGAAAGTCACACCTCGACGTTCGTCCAGACTTGGAAACATCACGAAGCTGTTCTGTTGCTCAGCAACGTGGAGCTTTTAATTCAGACATTGTCTCCAGCCTCCGTCATTGTCGCTCACGCTTCACCTGGTCCAGCTCCACCGCTCAAACTACCCAACACTCGCACGCCGCTCCTGTTCTTGCTCCCCATCGCCTGCTTTCAGCTAACCTACTGTTACTCGCCTCGCAGCTGATGCCTCGCAGGTGATGCCTCGCAGGTGAACCCTGTTAGATGTGGCAGATTCGTGTCTCCTCCCGGGATCGAGCGGGGGTCTTTCATTGTTAGACAAATGTGTAAAAACGTGAAACACTGAACATCAGGTTTCATGTTTTTTCGTTAATAAAGTTTTGTTCAAATAAGAATCACAAGAAGTTTGTTTTATTATTTTCCATCAGAGCTTTTAATGTTTGATGCTGAGTTTGTGCTCACCTCTTCGTTTCCTTTGTTTTTATTGTTCTTATTCTCACACACATCTTTATTATTCACACTATTTTCAATATCAACAGATCATCCTCGCGAGGTCACATGATCACAGCCTGCACTTCCGCTAATGTCCGCTAACAGCACAGGTGTGCCTGTGTGATGCTCACATGGCTGCAGGCTGATAACCATGTTAGAGCTGCTGATAACAAAGAGAAGATTAAAGTTGATATTACAGATCTGAGTCGTTCATTTTGTGTATTTTACTGTTTTTTCCTGCTTTAAATGTCCTTTAAAGCTCTGAACCAGGAGGCGTTTGTCTGCGTCCAACAAATGTCCAGCAGGGGGCGCCAGAGATCGATTTAAACACCGGGCTCAGAGCGCTCAGTGGAAACGGTCGGAGGTCTCTCTCACTTTGTTTTCCGTCATGCGTCTGAGCGTCAGTGTTAATAACAATAATGTGTTTGATCAGAGCTGCAGCAGCACTGAAACAGCACAAAGCCAAAGGCCCAGAGCAGGAAGTCCCACTGTGACTCCAACTCATCCCACAGAGGACCGACGACCCACACCACACAGACTTATGTGCCCAGCTTTGTGAACCCTTTTGGGTTTCACAGCATTTATTTTCAATTCATGTCACATTTGTGACTGTGGTTCATGTCAAAGCACATATTATCATTATCGTTACTATACAGTTTAGTTGGTATCACAGGTCATTTAGCTGGTTTTGTTTCAGGTTTGATCTTTTTACACATTTTACTGGTTTTATGTGAGCTTTTCATAATATTTTAACGAAGTCAAATGAAAACTCAGAGATGATTTATTTACAGCAGCGCAGGAATGAAACTGCAGGAAGTTCGTGTCACCTTATTTGTATGCGGAGGAAGGTTTGCTCTGCAGTTATGAGTCACGAGCACGTGCACACTCCCACAACACATAAGTACAGTACAACGCTGAGAGCAAGAACACTGAGGTTTGGTTTCAGGCAGCTAAGGTGAGGACAGGGGAGAGGGGGCAGGTCCTTTCCTCCAAACAGAGGTCAGAGGTCAGAGAGAGATCCAGTAAGGAAGCAGAGCGGGAGAAGCACACTGAGCGTTTGGTCAGGAGATAAAAAGTAGAGCCGTTACCACTTGACATAACTACAATCCAACAATCCAGTGACGCAGGAGAGAGGAGTTCGGTACTGCAGGGGTGACACGGATGCTGTGCTTTTATTTTGGTAGTTTGGTTTGTTTCAGCAGGTTAAACTAGCTTCAAGATAAAAAGCCAAAACCCTTTGTGGGTACAAGAGCGGATGTTGTGGTTCATGTGAGGCTGGGTTGGGGTTTGATTCCTCGGCACATGTGTGCTGTCGTCATGTGAAACCAACGCGCAGCATCGTCCGGTCAGTTTCTGCCCGGCTGGTTTTCAACCTGAACTCCACAAGATGCTGCAGCTTTGAGCTTCACTTCCTGCTGCTGCATGTGTGAGTGTGAGTGTGTGTGTGTGTGTGTGTACTTGTTTGGACATCTTTGTGCGGACAGAAAATTGGCGTGCCACTATACTGGAGGGGACAAAGTCCCCACGAGTCTGAAGCATGTTTGAGATTCAAAGTGTGGTTTTAGCTGCAGGGTCACAGTTCGGTTTATTTTCATGGTTAGGCATTATGTCAATCAAACGTCCTCAGTAAGACATGAAAACGAGTGTGTGTGTGTTTCAGTTCATGTTGGTATGTGTTTAACCACCTTGTGGCCACAGGATGTGGTTGAAAGTGTGAAGCAACAGTTGTTACGTCGCTATGGGAACATGAAAGGTGTTAAAAAACACTTTCGGAGTTGAAGAAAAGACGTTTTTGTCGTTTTTGCAGCTTGTTTGTCTCTTTGAATTTTCCAGCTCGTGCAGTGGCGCATGGCGGTGCAGACCGTGAACCACCGAAGGCCCAGGATGAAGGACGTGTTGTTGGCAGAGCCGGGTCGGGGCACACGGGCTGTTCTGGGCCTCGCTTTCCGTGCAGGCTGCTTTCAGCAACACCAGCTTACAAAAACCCACCGCTCACCTGCCCGCTGCCAGCAGGACAGCACACGTCAGTGTTAAAACCCACAAACACAGCACAAAACGTATGTGTTACTTAAGGTGAAGCTCCGACAGTCTCATCGCTTCTTTCTGTAATCGTTCAAATGGAGATTCATGAAAAGGCCGCACGCAGCTTCCATTCAAACAGGATCAGGTGTGACGCGCCCTAAATGGAAAATCAGCTGCATTTGGATGAAGATGGATTCTGCCTGTGCTGGTTTTGTGGAGCCACGTGTGGTCAGATAGTTACATGAAAAAGACTCCAACGCACAAACGCCGTCATGAAAGTGGCTCCAGTCTAACGAGCCAAACTGTTGTAAAACAAGCGCAGCCTCTACTGCCTCCAGGCTGGCTGCAGCTCAGGTGGTGGAGCAGGTCATCTACTAACCAGAAGGTTGATGGTTTGATCCCAGTCTGCTCCAGTCTGGTTGCCAAGAAGAAAAGCGCTATATAAGAATCAGTCCATTAACATTTAGTGTCGAACTCCAGGCCTCGATCGCCGGCATCCCACAGGTCAGCACACCTGAATCACATGATGAGTTCATTACTGGGCCTCTGAAGAACTTTAAGACATGCTGAGGAGGAAATTTAGCCTTTAAATCAGCTGTGATTTATTCAAGGACGCATCTAACACCTGCAGGACGCCGGCCCTCGAGACCGGGAGTTGGACACCCCTGAGCTACAGAGCACGAACAGTTCTGCCCTCCGGCTGTGTGACGCTGCGGCGTGACCGTACGTCGATCACTTGGACGTCTTAAAGCACAGGTGTCCAACTCCAGGCCTCGAGGGCCGGCGTCCTGCAGGTTTTAGACGTGTCCTCGATCCAACACAGCTGATTTAAAGGCTAAATGACCTCCTCAACATGTCCTGAAGCTCTCCAGATGCTGCTAATGAACTAACCATTTGATTCAGGTGTGTTGACCCAGGGTGGGATGTAAAACCTGCAGGACGCCGGCCCTCGAGGCCTGGAGTTGGACACCACTGTCTTAACGTCTCTGAGGACGCTGCTGGAGGCAGACGCAGCTCCATCACAGGGACTGCAGCTTGTGAAACTTCATGCTCGGTGCTGCAGTTGCTGCTCAGGCGTACCTCGGTCGAAGCAGCGCCTCCGTGAACATTACTGTGCTTCAGCCCTGCGCTCATGTTCACATGAGACAGGAAGTCGAAGCTGTCTGTGGTTATTGTGTCATTGTCTGTTCTATATCAGTCAGTGAGTCACTTAATGCTTACTTTGACCAGCGCGGCAAGAAGGATGACGTATTTTAGAGGTAAAAGTATCACGAAGACTCTTGAGACAGCGACGGGGGTTTATCCTTTTCTCAGCAACCCCCCACATAACCCCCACCGTGGGAGTAATCTCAGACAGCGCCTGAAGTCTTCACCTGTGAAAGGGCATTCTCATTTTCTGTTGCAGTGACGTGCGCTGAATTTACAGAAAGGGAAGCAGAGGAGCTGACGGCCCACCCACAGACACAGAGAAGCTTCCACTGCTCACCTACAGACCGCTGGACCAGACGGAAACACGCTGGCTCGCATCAGCAGCGCTTTTATATCGTAGCTTTGAAGCATCCACAGAATCGCCCCGTACCACGTATGATGTCACACACCTTATTAGGATTTACAAAAAGCAAACCTCATATGAGGCTCGGGAGAGGAAGTGAGCGTCAGCGGCCACGCCAACATCACGTCGGCAGCAAACACACATCCTCTAATCCTGCCGTGTTCAACATGTCCTCTGTGTGGGACTTTTCCCATCAGTATAATTCAATAGTCCTCACATAAAACTTTATATTACTGTCAGATTAGACTCAAGAAAGAGCTGCTGCGGACATGAAAGTGACAGAAACAACTGCAGCCTCGCAGCAGGCCGGACCACAGCAGCATCTTCAGTCTGCAGCTCAGCTGTGCTGATGTGCGTCTCCTTCTCCTTCAGGTTTACTGCTTCTGAGGCCGCTGTCTGAATTATGAATGATGCTCTGAGAGCATTTTAGTCGAAGACTCCTCCAGCTCCCGCCTTCTGAAACAGAGACGTCACCGTTTGATCACAAACAGAGTCCTTGAAACAAAACCAGCCTGAGACTAAACAGAAACATAAAAACGGACTCGTTAGAGCCGGCGATAGAAAAGCATTCTCACGTCTGTCTGCGATGTTCTGCCGTCACACAGTAACGTTGTCGCATCAGCGGCTCGTGATGCTGCAGCTTGTCAAGTGTTCTCGTGGAGCCGGGTGGTGCTTCCCTGTGGTGGTCTGAGCATCTCTGTGACTCGCCTGGCTTCTCCGGGTGGCGTCCAGCTTGCACTGAGAGTTCACAGCTACATGTGCAGTGTTGGGATTGAGAGTTAGTACTTCCAGTCTGAGCTGGATCCGAGTTCAAGTGTCTCGGGGCCTCCTCTATGATGAGTTGGTGACGCCTCTGTAGTGACGTGGACGCCGTACCGGCCTGTGGTGGTAAAAACAAAGCTGTCGACTCAGAGGTCGATCCACGCCCCCACCCTCACCTTTGACTGGGAGCTCTGGATGGTGACTGGAACAGGCACCACCTCTCAGCTCTGTGGTGCACAGAAGTTTAGCATTTATCACCTGCACAGGAACACGATCTGTACTCGTGAACGCGGCACAGAAACAAGCTGGCGAGCGTGATGTGCTTAATGATTGATTTTGTACTTCTAAAGCACAACAGCTCAACTGTAGCTCCTCCCATTTCTGGTCATGTACAGAGCTGATGTAGTGAACCTGAGCTGCATCCATCGCAGAAGCGCAGAAACCTCGTGTCCTTCTGTGTGTCCACGAAGATCGAGTTGAAATCAGAAAAATTCGTATTCGCAGCTCAGCCTGAGAGAGTGTGATTAATGAACTTCAGCTCGTTTTCTGTTACCTCAGGATGCAGGCGAGCATCACCGCCCTGTGTGTGTTCAGACGACTGACGTAGTTTACTCCTCTATATTTATCTCACTGTTGTCTCGTGAGCTGGTCTGCACGTCTGCACACTCTTTAAAACGAAGGTTTTAATCTCATGTTTCCTGCTTAAACGTGAAATATTCAAACAGAAAACAGAGAAAATGGTGCTGAGCTCTGAATGGAGGAGTGTGTGTGTGCGTGTGCGTGCATGTGTGCGTGAGTGTGAGTGTGTGTGTGCGTGTGTTCAGTTTAAAGGGAAACGTCCTGACAGCAGCTCTGTTGTCCTGCTGCTCGGGAACATTCGTGCCTCTCTGGAAGCTGCTGCTGCAGTGCTTCCTGACAGAGACCACACCTCCACTCAGCCCACAGGTCAACGCTGACACCTCAGCCACCCAAAAACCTGCACACACAGGATGTCTGCTTCAAAATAAAGGCCAAACAAACACAAGCAGACTCACAGCATGTTTCAGTCAGAAAACAACATAAAGTCCAGCGTTATCAGGCACCACTCATGATTGTGTGTGTCTGCTGCAGCCGTCTCAGACTGATTAAAGTTATCTTATAAATGACTCTCACATGTAAAGGGAAATAACAGAAACCACAATATTACAATGACATAAATAAAGATGGGATTCAGTGATATTACTGACTCTCTAGCATCTGTTTAATTTCCTGTTAGGTATCCTAACAACAAACTATGGTCTTATCAGAGATCTCCCCACATTATTTTCTGAATCATGATGGATCATGAAGTATCTGATGGAAAATTAAAAGAAGCAAATTCACCAACAAAACGAGAGCCGTGTTTGAGTTAGAATAAACACCTCAAACATCAAACTTGACGTTCAGCTTTAATATAATTTTAATTGATCATTTTAACTTATTTTTATAAATCAAATTTCATTTATTATAAAACAAGCAACAATAAATAAATGAGATAAAATCACCACAACCTGCAGTTCCTGTGATGTCCAGCAGGGGCAGCAGAGAGTCAGTCCCCATAGACTCCCATGTTAAACTTTACAGCAAAGATATAAACTGCTTGGTCTCTACAGATTCCCCCTTCATAACAACTGTAACCGAGTAATTGATTTTTTTATCTGTGAGTTTTGAGACTTAAATTTATGGGCGTGGCCAGTCATTGACTAACAGCTGGATGGTCACAGGGTGTGGCTGGAGTCCCTGAACTGGACCTCTGCACGGTGTTTGTGCCGCTGGAGCATTTTGGAGAATTTTTAATGACATCATGTGGCCAATAACATGTCTGCTGTGAGGTCCTATACTAACAGAGTGTTCAAGAAGGCGGAGCTCCAGTTTTTAGTGACTGAAATTCAAGGATTTCACTGAGGGTACACCAAAGCTTTGGTGATTGTTGAGTCATATACGGGTGATGTATGTTGAGCTTGACACATGAAAGAAACGCAAAAGCAGAACACGACATTTTATTCACAGAGGATGATGAAATGACCAGAATTTACACGAAAATCGAACGAACTGTGATTTAAAATAAATGTTAATGACCCAATCTCAATGATGTGCGCGCAAAGTTTCTGTCAGAGTGGCTCACCTGTGAAGGAGGAGAGTGATAAGATGTTATTGAACACTGATTAGCAGACATATGTGTGTGTGGATGTACACTAATAAGAAAACAAGGCTCTAAAATGTCCAAAACCAGGGGGTGACGTCAAAGTGGTGGTGTCCATCTTTATATACAGTCTATGGAACTCATAAAAATTGATATTTCAGACACACTCAGAAAAATACACTCAAAAAACAAATGAAATTAAAACATGCTACTGTTATTATACTGAGAATATATCAATACACACTGAAGTGTTTTGAGAGGACGGGGTTTTGTCGGTGCTTTTATTATGAAATATATCCCGGAAGCAGTCGCGTTTATCTGCTGCGCGTTGACGTCAGCGATAAAAACAGGGGCTGTGCCGTGTCGCGCGGTCGACGGTGACTTTCCGCTGCGGTTAAACTCGTTTAAACGTTTCATTTACCGTGCTGTTTACCGGCATCATGTCTCACACCGTCATCACCACGACAACAACCACCAGGACATCCGGGGAGAGCGGCCTGAACCTGGGCTACACCCAGACCATCCCGGGACTGCTCAAGATCGGACAGCTGGTAAGAGTCGGTCCGGTGGACAAACCCCGGGGCTTTACCCGGTTCTACCCGGGTTTGTGTGCGCCTGGTTTTCTAAAGATTTAGACACGAGAAACTTTAACTGTGAAATATTTAAACGACTGTTGTTGTTATTGATCGGCCTGTGATGCTCGGAGTGATCGGCTCCTGATGGAGAAATATTGATTTTCGTAAAAACTTCCATCCAGACAGGGACGGGCGAACAGAAAACGGGGCCCGGGGCTCAGAGACAGCTACAGACCCCCAGGCTTTTACAGGGGACCTCTCCAGCTGTTTTACGTGTCCTCGTGTTATTATAATAGCACCGTTAGACCCACTCAGAAGGCACTTTATTAGGTACACTTTACTGGCACCAAACATTTGGATCCAGTTTTTCCTTCAGAGATGTTTTAATTCTTCATGGCTCAGAATCAACAAGCTGCTGGAAAAATTTCTCAGGGGCTTTGGTCATGTGATCACAGTGAGATGATTTTGTGACATGGAGCGTCATCCTGCTGGAAGCAGCCAATCAGAAGATGGTACACTCTGGTCAAAAAGGGATGCCACACTCAGGCAGGCTGTGGCGTTTCGGTGAAGCTCTTACCGCTGAAACAGGCCAGAGTGGATCCACACTTTCATGCTGCTTCCTCAAACTCTGACTCCATCATTGACGGTTGCAGCAGAAACTGAGACTCATCAGACCAGGCAGCGTTTCTCTGATCACCTGGTGTGGTCGTCTGCTGCCGTAGCCCATCTGCTCGATGTTCCACACGTTCATTGATGCTCTGCATGCGATGGTCGTAACGAGTGTTCATCATGATGATCTGACACCCTCGTGTCGGTGTTGTTCCCACATCATCATCATAAATGTTGTTCCAGGTTTAACATTGCAAGTGACCAATCACATTGTTGTGATGTCACACTTTTGCGACTTCGTAAAAAAAAGCGCTGTAAAAAAAAGTCTGCGTAACGGCCTCTGTCCTCCGATGCAGCGATTTGAATCTTTGCATTTCAGGATGCTGTTCTGTAACAAACGGTAAGATTTATGCATGTTGTCCTTGCAACATTGGAATTTCGTAAATGAATGAATCGCTCGGCTTGCAAAAGTATGACGTCACAACAATGTGATTGGTCACTCGCAATGTTGAACCTGGAACATTTATGATGATGATGTGGGAACAACACCGACACGAGGATGCCAGATCGTGCTGTATTCGAGGTCCTGGTGCCTTCCTGTCAGCTCAGAAATTGGTTTCTGACACACTCAGACCAACAACCATGTTCAGAGTCACTCAGGTCGCCTTTCTCCATCATTCTGAACTTCAGCAGGTCGTCTCAGTGAGTCACTGCTATGTGATTGGCTGATATTTGTGTTGGCGTGCAGCTGAACAAGTGTACCTAATAAAGTGTCCGGTGAGTCTGACCGTCTGTGTAAAACCTTTAAAGGGCGATCGTGGCTCAAGAGTTGGGCGTTCGTCGTGTAATCGGAAGGTTGCCGGTTCGAGCCCCGGCTCCGACAGTCTCGGTCGTTGTGTCCTTGGGCAAGACACTTCACCCGTCGCCTACTGGTGGTGGTCAGAGGGCCCGGTGGCGCCAGTGTCCGGCAGCCTCGCCTCTGTCAGTGCGCCCCAGGGTGGCTGTGGCTACAATGTAGCTGCCATCACCAGTGTGTGAATGGGTGGGTGACTGGATATGTAAAGCGCTTTGGGGTCCTTAGGAACTAGTAAAGCGCTGTATAAATACAGACCATTTACCATTTAACGCCGTCTCAGAACAGACCTGCAGGAGTGAAGCTCGCCTCCTTCATTATTTCTGAACACGGTGGTTTGTATGCAGTTTCCTATGTGTACTCCAACACGTGTACTCCAACACGTGTACTGTCAACAGTCTGAAACGTGTTCCTCTGAGACCACGACGCTGGAGGGTTTGGTAATATTCTAATATTCTTTGAACTAAAACAAAAACACAAATCGGCTGCTGAACGATTACTCAGACCCAACAGCTGTTTGACCCAGAACAACCATGTTTACAGCTTTCTGCCACATTTGGCCTGGTTGGTTCAGGCTGTGCCGTCACATCAGGAGCAACTCCTGCTTATGTGAGCTAAATATCAGAGTTTCTGTGGCAACAGAGCAGGGCTCTGGAGTGCCACCAGTTTTTTAATGGTGCAACTAGAAAGAAAAAAAGGTCTCTGCAACTCTGAACGTCTCCGTGTGGTCAGACACACATCATGCCCCTATCGTGGTCTAAACCAATCAGAGACAGTCAGGGGCGGGACCTCTCTGATATGGATATCGAGTCATTAAGTCCTGAATGGACTTTTAAATATAAACGTATTTTGCCAGAAACACCAGAATCTCAGGTTAAAGCTCACAAACTATTTCAGCAACCACCAAACAGTAAATGAGAGCAATAAATGCCCAAGTGTCCCCCCCCCCGCTGCCTTTCAGCAGCAGGCAGGTCGTCAGAGGAGCCGATGTGACGAATACGTTTAACGTTGCCTACAGCATTACCAAAGAGAGCCACGCACTTTAAGGACAAGCATAAGATTGTTAGTTAATCATTTGCAAATGAATATTGTCTGTGACATCAGTTTCCCCTTTAAAAGTGCACATGTAAAACTGCAGCGTTAGGCGATGTGGTTGAAAGCTTTGGGTGCGCCTAACTTTTGTGCTGATGCGCCTAAGAAAAACATTTAGTGGCAAAAAGTTAGTGTAGAGCCACAGAGCCAATCAGAGCCACAGCCTGCACACATCCCCACACAGCGTTTACCTGAGCTGAAGCTGCCAGAACCAAATGATCTATCTATCTATTGTGTGAAAATAAAAACTCATTCTGAAAACCGTCGGCCGTGAACGCGGCGCATCGCTTTCTTCTCTTTTGCTTGTTTAAACAAGCAGATGCAAAAACATGTGATGCACGTCCTCAAACCGCTGCTCGCCTCTAATGCAAAGGAAGCACATATTAAACTGAATTTCCCTTTTGCCAGATCTCCCTGCTCATCGCCTTCCTGTGTGTGTTCTGCACTCGCGGCTGGCCCAGCTGGCCGGCCTTCCAGTACTTCGAGGTGGTGACGCTGTGGTTCCTCGTAGCCTTCCTCATCTTCTTCCTCATGCACCTGTGCAGGCTGCAGACGAGGATGCCCTGCATCAACTGGCCGCTGACGGTAAGAGGAGCGACGCTTCCATCCGTCTGTGTCGGTCTCGCTTCTGCATTTCAGCCAAACTTCTGCATCGAAGACTTGAGCGTTTGATTCTCAGCGTAGCGTAACAGGAAGCTGCTGTTATGCAACGCAGAGAAGCCAGAAGAACCCAAATGTTCCTCTGGCTTCTCTGTGGAGTTCAAGGAAGGAAGAGAGCTTCTGATGTGCGGATGCTTGCAGTGCACCAGCAGTCCCTCGTTTACCTTCCTGACCAGTCGGCCGTGAGCAGAGGTGATTTTCAGAGCAAATCTCAGACTTTTGATCAAAATGAAACAAATCAGCTGCTGCAAATTGTTCCTTAACCTTTTGAGAGCTTTGTGACCTTGAAAAGGTTCATGAGCACCAAACGTGCTGGGAGATCTCAGCCTGAGACGAAACATCACCCTGCAGCTGTTAGTCGCTCGGCTCAGATTTATGCTTCCACACATGGCGAGACTTCCTCTTCCTGTTCTGTTGAATCCAGAGAAATGTTAAACATTGTGAGATGATTGCTGATCTTCATGTGGACGCTGCACATATATGCAGTCTGCTCAGCTGTAAGCAGTACTAATAAAGCTCCACAGCAGAGCACCTGCCTCCATGTCACCCGACCCCCAGCATCCTCTGCACATCTGTACGCACATCTGTTCAGCAGCGGTCAGGCCCTTGCTCTTATTTTGAAAGTCCAGCAGCTGCGGTGCAGGTCTGGTTCCTGTGCTGAACTCTCAGCGAGCTCATCCGGCTGCAGGATGAGAGACGTGCTGGAAATTAAAAGCACTTCCTGTCCAGCGGTATTTATTAATGAATCTATGAAAACTCGTGTGAGTGAAACGGGACTTGAAGCTCCGGCAGAGTGAATGTTTGCATCCTGGTTTCAGAAGCAGACCCGACTTTGAAGCCTTCACTAAAGCGGAGCTCTGAGGAAGGCTCGGAGCTCCTCTGTGGTGGACACGAGGTGCTGACAGATGCTGAGAAATGTTTATTGTTCCTCTGCTGTTTCAGGAGTTCTTCCATTACTCTGTGGGATGCATCCTCATCCTCATCGCCTCCATCATCGCCTCGGCGAATAGCGGTGGAGTTTCAGCGCTGGTGGCCGGATCGGTACGTAAGCGCACAACTGCGAGACTCGCGTTGTGTCACTTTGCAGCAGACCAGCTGTGTGTGGCTCCTGCAGACCGAGTCCTCCCTCTGATCACGCAGGACGTCACATTAAGTTCTTTCCTGAGAACAGAAATCTGGTCCTGCCTGAACTTCTCTGAGCTGAGTGCGATCCGTCAGTAGACTTGAGCAGCTTTACTTTGAAAGGTGTTTGTAACGCATTGTGTGTTCGTTCACAGGTGTTTGGATTCATAGCGACGTTCCTGATGGCCGTGAACTTGTGGACGTCTTACAGCGTGGCTTGTGGGCCTCAGTCTGGTAGGTGCTGTCCTTCACCTGCTTCTGGTCTGAGCCTGTTACCTGCTCACGTGGTTTTGGGTTAAACGTCTCCAGCGCTGGGCGAGGGTGTCGTCTTTTTAACGCGCTGCAGAATCAAACCTTCATGGCCTCATCTGCTTTTTATGAGCACGTTTCAAGTGAAGCATGTTGTTAAATTGCAGTGCATTCAGGGACTAGTAAGCGTTTTGTGCTCAAAGTCGATGTTAGAGGCAGGAAATTGGACGAGCGTGAGGATTTGTGACAGTTTGGCTCAGAGCAGCTGCGACACTGCAGCTCCTGCGGGGCTCCAAGGAAGGAGCAGGGGTCACGGGGTCACGGGCCACCTCAGTCAGAGCATCAGGGCGAGGTGCTGCACAAACGGTCCAATCTGCAGAGGCTCCACCCACAGCACAGCCTCGATGGGTGCAGCCAAAGGGGGGCCGACACAACATTAGGCACACGGTCATTATGTTACACCTGACTGGTGCATATTTGTCCACAGTTGGACTGAAGGGGGCTGCGTACCACATTTAAAACATTGTTATCGTATAAATAATGCAAGCGTGCACCTCCCTGCTCGAGCTGAGTTCCCTGTGATAAGAGGAGGGTTTCCCTGAGGAATGCTAACGATGCTAACGATGCTAATCAGTTAAAAGTGCTTTTTTTTTTCCAAACAGTGAGCCAACTGTTTTCTTCGAGCCACATCCAAAGATGTGAGGCCGATCCACATGACAGCAATTACTTCCACTGCCCTGAGACTCTAACACTCTCTCCCCGCATGTTTCTCCCATCATGCTTTTCTGCAGCCATGTAAAAAGCGTCCCGTCATGATGGAGTCAGATGGCTGTGTTGGCAGTTTGCTGTGTCCTGGTTCTTCTCTGCCAAGCGACCACCTGGATAAATCGATGTGATCATAACTCTTACTGCAGAGGAGCGCCGACGCAGCACCGGCTGGGCTGGACAGCAGTCAGTGTCATTCTTTTACTTCCTCGTTAAATCGGACCGCTGTGGTCACGTTTCCATGGTAACGGTGCTCTGGGTCACATTTGAACCATCGGTAATCCTCATTCATGAACGACAGCACAGTCACCTGGAATTGTCACCTTTATTATATTTCCCATCATTCCTGTTGTTTTCTTTCTTTGTCCTTAAGAATGAGGCGTGGGCTCTAAAGCGATGGCGCCCTCACACTGCTGTGTGCCATAAATGAGCGTGTCCTCACGGTTTACAGCGCCCATCCTTCTGCTCCTTTGAAACTTCCTCGAGCTCTGCAGAAGCAGTTTGGACCACAGATGCATTAAAATTACAGCAGTTCTACTTTAAAATATTAGTGTTGAAATATTTTTATCACTCAAACACGAGTTGCATGCTAATGTTGTTGTTAGCATGCTAAAAATTTACTCAGGGGCTGTAAAACAGCAGCATGCTAACAAATGAAACAGGTAAAACGTCGGCATGCCAACAAAGCAAAAGAACAAAACATCGTCATTTTTGGCGAGTAAAGACACGTGGCAGAAATCGTTATTTCTTTGATTGTCAGGAAGCCCGTGGGCGGAGTCTAACCTGCTGGAGGTTCAGTTTGTTTTAGCCAGCTGGGTCATTTTTAAAGATTCAAGGAAGCTGAAGACGCTGCATGTAAACAGTGCAAACCACACGCATGTAAACAGGTTGCAAGTTTTAATGATTGAAAAAATCTCACATTGATTATGTGGGTCAGTAATGATGTCATTGTTCATTTATATTACAAAACAAGCTGCAGATAAATATAAGAACCAGTTTGACTCATGGACACGCCCACTTACATTAAAGACAAACGTCTCCAGCTGTTCTGCTTGAGATGCTCGAAAACCCGACAAATACATCAGAAAACACGCGGTTCAGTTTGTGTCGCGTTAAATCAGACCACAGCTGGGAGCCGTGTGTCCCGTAGACACATGTACAGGAGATAAACCTGAATGTTTTTGTGTGTCGAGAGGTGTTCTGTGGGAAGCTCCAGTGTTTGATGTCTGCTTGTGGGATTTACTGACAATAAGAGAAATAAAGGCCAAAGCACAGCGTCTGTGTTATGGAGGAAGAACATGTAATATGTCATTGACGTGGATTCAATCTGTAACTGAACAGTTTAGAGACGTTTCAGCAGGAACTGCAGATTATTGTAATTACTCTTTTTGTTCAGCTGTCCTCGGTGCTTAAAAGAACCAAACTTTTAGCCATTTGAATTTAAAATTCAGTCTGAATTTTGTATTTAAAAAGCACATCTGTGATTATTTTAGAGGATGCCAAAAGAGAGCGATGTATAAATTATATCAGGATTAAAAATGAACTGTGTGGAAATCTGTGCAGATTAATAAATGTAATGACATGGATTCATTCAGATTATCCAAATATTCACGTGATTAATGATCAATGATACTTCGTTCAGACGCGCTGAGATGGATTCAAATGAACCAAAGAGATTAAAAGTGTGTATCTATGGACAGACGAAGACATATTGTAGTAAATATTAAACATCATCCATTTAAAAGTGTTTGGATTTATAATTATATGTTGGAAGCTACATTTTTGGAGAATGTGTGTTTTCCAAAAGAAGTCATTGCAACGCCACATCAGTGAACGCACAGACGAGCTAACAATGAAAAGATGCTGTAAATATTCAATGTGCTGCACTGAGCGCAGCGTGTTAGCCGTTTTACAATCGTCCGACTGTTTAAGCACAATCTCTGCGTACCTCTCCCAGCCCGTTCGTTCTGATCATAGTTATTTAATCTGTGCTTTCACTCAGTGACAGAAAACTTTTATTAATCTGCACACGGTGACGTCCACTCCCGCTAACTGCTAGCTCCGACCGCATGCAGCACCTCTGGGCTGTCAGCTCTGCAAACATCTCTGATTGACTCAACGCTCAGTTGAACTTACGTGGAAAATGAAGTCACACCTCTGAACCTAAAAACTTTAACGTGAACAATCGTTACGAATCGAGACAGAGACGCCAAATGTGGCAGGTAGCCAACGTTAGCCGAGACGTTAGCTTACAGCTAAGTGATTATTAAAACAAATTGAAGAGACAGAATTAAGAGTTTGTTGAAAATGGTTAAACCATGCTTATGTTTTCTGTTGACTGTGCATTACTGATACATAGTTAACATTTTATTAAATGGAATTTAATGAAGAGGTTAATATAGCAGCACTAGCTAACAAGCGTGACCTAGCATGACTATTGTTGATGCCACGCCCATTTTTTCTCGGCTGCACTGCCGATCTGATTGGACAGGAGGGGAGTTCATGCTAACATGTCAGTGTTCACATGACAGCTGCTGCTTGTCTTATTGGTCTTTAATAACAAAGTGCCATTTATTGTTTGATTGTTTTTAGCGATTAATCCCAGTTTACAGGTGTGCAGATAAACTGCTGTGAACGTCTTGGAGGAAAAACACATTTCCAGTTTTTCTGCTGCGTGTTCTTCATAGAACCCAAACTGGTTTCGCTTTAATTCTTAGAATAAAAAGGCTCAAAGTTAGACCCTTTTCTGCCACCTGTCGTTAACAAACGAGTAAAACCATTCGGTGTGTAACGATAATCCTGAGATTACTGCCTTACTGTGCGATGCTTCTGACTGTGCACTGAATGTGTCTGAAATTTCCTCTGAAGTAGCTCAGAGCACCAAATGAAGGCCTGACCTCTAATTGGATTCAAACTGAATGTTAAACTGTGGAAGGTTTACACAGTACTTTGTAGTACATTTAAATACCCGTTAGTGTCTGATCCTGGAGCCTCTACACACTGTGTGACATCGTAACGGGTTCCTGCTCGACTGGTCTGTGGGAACCGTCAGGATGTTCTAGTTGGTGTAGGAACTTGATGAAAGCATGTGAGCTTTTTGTACGAATGCTTTCAGCTTCAGACAACTTCATAAACTAACTTTAAAAAGCATAATTAGGTTGTGGTGGCTTAGCGGTGCAGCGGTTTGAGCTTCATGTTCTCCCTGTCTGGGTTTCCTCTCACAGTCCAAAGACGTAGGTGGGGTGACCTGTCCAGGGTACAAGCCCCGCCCACAGGGTTTCAGTAGTAAAACGTGCCACTGACTGAGACACTGAATAAGAGCGGTCACTCAGCTCTTCGTTATCTGAAGCTGGTCATGAAGTCATGTGACCCTGCAGGTAGAGACTGCGAGTTCCTCATACAGTCACGGTCCTGTTTGATAGGCTGCAGGGACTGACTTCACAACAGTGACATCACATCCTGCCTGCTCCCAGTGAGTCCGGTACGTCAGGGCCTGAACCCCTGAGGGTCGCACAGTGTGGAGGGGTTCCCGTCCCATTAACGTCACGTGTCTCATAAGCTTTATTTCACGCTGTGATGCTGTTCGTAATGGTGCACCATGCTCACTTGCTGTGCTCGCTGCCTCTTTGGTTTCCTGTCTGCACCAGCTTCATTTGTAAGAGTTTGGTTTCTTATGCACTGATAAGCTTACTGCAGCAGGCCGTTACATCATCGTGTTAAATCACAACACGTGAAAAGATTTACATTTGAGTTTTGTATGTATTTACTATTTCTATGGTTGAACTTTTACTATGCTGTTTTTCCAGTTTGGGATAAAATTCAAACTTTTCTTGTTTCTGTTTCCTTGGACTTATTTTTTTTACCCTAAAGCTGGGCTTTAATTTTCCGTCTGGATGTTTTGCGTGAATCCAAAACGAAGGTGTTTGTCAGTCAGAGTGGGACAGCGATGTGGTTTTCCTGAAGGCTATTTGAAGGCGTTGCTGTGAGCGTTTACAGTTATTTCCATGCCTCGAGTACTCTGATGGATCCGGGCTCCACCATAGACAAACCACACTGTTTACATTATTTATTTTGGCTCCAGCTTGATGATGATATTCTCACTGATGCAAAGTGACCTGATGTATGGCTGCGTGTCCACTGGGGGACAGAAACATTCATTAGACTGGCTATGAATCTGGACCGCTGATAATACATTACTGCTCATTACATTTTTCACTGTCGGAGGGAAACGACTCGGTCTCCAGGTGAGATTTGTTTGTACAAATGTTCCAGTTTAGTGGAAAGCAGCCAAAGCTCGTATGCAATTGGGCAAGACTTGGAAGTCTTCTAGTTGTACAAGTCTTGACCCTGTTTTCTACACATGCCACAGATTCATTTACAGCAGCACCAGGCTCAGGGAGGGGCGGGGCCAATCACTGTGATTGGTTGGTGAGAGAAGGAAGACAGGATGAAGACATGCTGTGGAGGAGAGACAGAGATTAATAACAGATATGATTCGATGCAGAGAGTCTGTGAACACATAGTGAGTGAGAAACGTGACTTTCTTTAATCTCGAGTCTGTTTGTTTCATTTGAGACCAACAAAGCTTCACACATGGAAACATTTTACTCAACAGCAACTTTTAGTCTCAGGTCTATTCTTTCATTTTTAATGCCACTGATTGTGTTTCTACTACAGACTAAAGTCCTGCATACATTTGGTCGATTATTCAGCTCATATTAAATCTTTTTGTTTGAGCTGAATCCCGTCACTGCTGTTTCCTGTGATGACACACGGGGCGGCGCCAGGAAAAGCTGTAACAGCAGGTCGTGGAGCAGCCGTCCTAACAGCTGTTTCAAAGGTTTTCTTTCTCCAACGTTAAATTCTGATTGGACGTTTGCTTCTTAAAGTTCCCGAATCTGTGAATCGAATGTTTGAGATCGAGACTAGGATAAATGTATACACATGAGAGCGAGGAGCCCAGTGGACACGGTCACCTGGTAGTTCATTTAGTGTTTTCTCCAAAGTGCCTTAATGTTCTGTGGGTGTGGATTGGTCACTTGACTTCTGTGAGGAGCCACGATCAGGCTGGACTTGTGATTTTATTATATTACAATAAAAGATGTGTACAGTGTTTGAGTGACATCACAAACACGAGTTGTTTTTCTACATTTTTAAAATGTGTTCAAACTACAAGTTGTGATTTATTGCATGTTGTGAATTAAAGGCTCATTGCACCAGTTCTGTCTCTGCTAGTTTCATAGAACACGAGGAACAAACACATGAAAAATGGAAACAAAGTATTATTAAAGTTAACAAAATGATGCATTTATCTGTTTAGTAACGTCTTTGTGTAAAACAGTCATCAGTGTGTGTAGAGGTTTAGCATTTTGCTGTGGGTGGAAAAATCTGTGTGTAAAATAAATGCTTTCAGTTTTCGCTAATCTGATGTTTGAGGCACATTTTGAAAACACATGAAAGCGTTAGCGGCATGTAGAGAACCGTGTGGATTATTAGCAAACATTAGAAAGATAAAGAGTCCTAAAAGTTATCCCTGTGGAAAACCCACAGCACTGTATCCATCCATCCATTCCCTTCCGTTTATCCTTTTCAGGGTCGCGGGGGGCGCTGGAGCCTATCCCAGCTGTCATAGGGCGAGAGGCGGGGTCCACCCTGGACAGGTCGCCAGTCTGTCGCAGGGCCAACACACAGGGACAGACAACCATTCGTGCTCACTTTCATTCACACCTAGTGACAATTTGGATTATCCAATCAACCTGTCCCCACAAGCTGGATGTCTTTGGACACTTTATCCAATCCAACTTTATTTATAAAGTACTTTAACACAGCCAGCACAGGACCAAAGTGCTGTACAGCAGATATGTTAAGAAAAAAAATAAAATTTCAAACAGCCCTGTATTAAAAAACAACATAGAACCAACTAAAAACAATTTGGGAGCTGCTACAGCAAAAGCACGATCTCCTCTAAGTTTACGCCCTGTCCGGGGTACATGCAGGAGCAGCTGATCAGCTGGCCTGAGAGAGCAGGTGGGTGTATGAGGCTGTAGCAGCTCAGAGAGATGAGATGGGGCGAGGCCGTGGAGAGCTTTAAAAGCAAATAAAAGAATTCTAAAATGAATCCTAAAAGTATTGGCAGCCAGTGAAGTGAAGCTGAAACGGGAAATGTGCTCAAACTGTCGAGTGCCAGTTAAAAGACGAGCTGCGGCATTTTGCCTCCTCTGTAGACGAGTAATATATGATGCGCTGACCCCAGTATAGAGTGCATTACAGTAATGCAGCCGAGTGCTAACAAAGGCGTGGATAGCTGTGAAAAACCTGCTTTAGCCAGCTGCCTCAATCTGACTGCCAAACGTCAGATCACAGTCACTTTGACCCCCAGGTTTGTGACAGCTGGTTTAACATGCTGGGCAAAGGAATCTAAATATTGGGGGTCTCAGTGGGGCTACCAAAAACCATCACCTCGGTCTTTTTGTCATTGAATTTTAAAAAGTTAAGAGACATGCAAGCCTTAATTTCAAGACACTGAAGTAGTGGCTGTGTGGAGTATGTGTTCAGTCATCAGCATAAAAGGGGAATACAATGCAACTGAGTTAACTCAGTACAGAACCAAGAGGGGGCCGAGAACTGAGCCCTGTGGGACACCACACCACAGAGGACAGCACGGCACAAAAAGTTCACCCTGCCAAGCAGGACCTGAACCACTCCAGGGCCCCTCGTGCCCACCCAGTGCTCCAAACCAGAGAGTAATATGGCGTGATGCACTGTATCAAGCCAGCTGTCAAATCTAAAAGCACCAGAACAACACAGTCCCGAGCGTCAGGAGCTAAAAATATGTCCTTAAAACTTTGAACAGGGCTGATTCAGTGAAAGGGTTTAAAATCTGACTGGAAAACATCTAAAACATTTTGCTTTCCCAGGAAGGCCATTCATTGGCTGTGAGCTCTTTTCAAGACATTTGGAAAGAAAAGGTAGTTTGGAGATAGACCTGTAATTTACAAGAGTCATAGGATCAAGAGCAGGTTTTTTAATCAGGGGTTTGACTACAGCATGTTTAACATCTTTAGGGACAACACCTGACATCAAACTGTGGTTTGCTCAAAAAGCAAAGGTCCAACTGCAGTTAACACGTGTTTTAAGAGTCGAGGAGGGGCAGCATCGTTTGGAGACCCTGCAGGCTTAAAATGACCAACAGTCTCCTTTAAAGCGGACAGAGTCACCGGCTCAAAGACAGCAGAGCAGGAAGCAGAGACTGAGAGGTCATGAGCAGAAAGATCTGAGCCCTGGTGGAGGAGACCTTCTCAATAAAACAGCGTACAAACCGTTCACAGGCTGCAGACGAGGCCTCGATACAGTCGGAGCAGAGTTAATGGTCCTAAATAAAACACGTGTTGTGACAGTTTGACGGAATAATGTCAGATACGTGTTTTTTACAGTTGTGTTTAAAGCAGATGTGTAGACTGATGCTCAGTTTGATGGTACAAACGTATCAGGAGTGACATCATTGATATTTACTAGATACAGAACACAGTGAGCCTACACTGTTCACTGCATCACTCCATGCTTGCACTGAGCACCACCTGCTATCATGTATATATCTACTGAGCACTTTTCAGTTTTGCTTTCTTTCAGCGTTGTCTGACAGTATGTTTTGCACTAAGCAGCAATTTGCTAATGTTGTAAAGCTGCTCAACATTTGGAAATAAAACCCATTCTGATTCTGCACAAAGAAAGCTCAGTGGTGGAATCAAATATGACATTTCAGTCAAAATTCAAGGTATTTATTTCTATTTCATATCATTTACGAGCCCTGTGTGAAAGCTTTAGTTACATTTAAGGGCAATATCCCAAAAATAAAGTCAGAGATTTGATCCGTGTGTGTTTCAGATGAAATGAAGACAAACTGATGCAGTAAATCTTCTCTTATTGATGACAAAACTGTGCAGCATAATTTACTTCAGATGTTGCAGATGTGAGAGCATAAGCAGGCTGATGTTTGGAGGCTCTAACAGCAGAGAGATGATACAGAAACATCTTTAGAAAATACTGACACACTTTACAAATTTCCCACGTGTGGGACTAATAAAGGTTATCTTATCTTATCTTATGAAGGGACAACTTTGTGTCTAAATGAGCTGCACACTTTCCCCACTGAAACCAGCACAATCCCACTGATGAAAACAACATTTGAACTACATATATTCTGGATAAATCAAAGCATTATCAAAGTTGTCTGTGGTTCCCTTATTTTTCCTTGGTTCCCTCTCAGATCCTGCAGGACGAACAGCAGTGAGTGGTTCCTGTATGCAGCTGTTACAGGTTGTGTTGGAGATGCTTCTGCAGATACAGGAAGCAAATATAAAAGTGTTTTCAGTGTTTTTAGCAGTCCCTCAACTACAGAGAGCTGTCTGCTCTCCTCTGCATCTCTCAGCTGCTGCTGGCTCCTCCTCCTCACACTGTCCTGGATCTGTCCTGGTGTCTCATCAGGGGTGGAGAGCCTCCGTCTCCTCTCACCTTCTCAGGCTCTTCTGACTCTGGACACTTGCAGAAGGAAATCAACCACAGCAGTCAGCAACAAAAGCAGCAGAAGTTTATCAAATCTGTGTGAACTTGCAGGATGAAAACACCGTTTCCTCTTATCGTCACAAAGACACACTTTATGTGTTTGAATCAGAGAGAAACAGGATCCTGCAGAGTGTTGGTCTTTATAACAAAGGTGACAGACTCGGGTTGTTTGATATAAGCCTGACGGAAACAGCAGGAAACAGCAGGAGGACTTCTCCATCTACTGTCTGTCTCATTGTTAGCGCTTTAAACAGGATGAGAGCTCTTTAAGGACAAACTGCAGCACAGCATGCTTGAGTCTGCGTCCTCACCGCAGTTCGCGGGCCACATATTTGCTCAACCGTCTGCTCGGTGTTTCCTGAACCGTTTAAGTACGTTTGGCTTCACGGCGACAAACAGACGGAGCTTCGGCAGAAACCTGAACGAACTAACGGAGAAAGAGCGCGTTAAACGCGACCTCACTAACGTCACGTAACTTAGCCGAAGGGTCGCTAAATGCGACTTTAAGACTTTTCATTATGCTAACATTTGTTCCGCGGTATATTTGCAGTGGGACAAAAGCGCCGCGCTCACTTTGAAGACGGTATTTCTGCGCTTCACTTCGGCCGTCCGCCATTTTTCTTCAACCGCTGACTCGCAGTGAATCCTGGGATATGGTGAGGGCGCGGCTTCTATCCGTGCGCTCGTGCGTTCTGTGTGGCGTCACTGGCAGATCAAAGGAATCAGCTTCTGCTTTGATCGTCACAGCCACGTCACAGGCAGGGAAAGCTTTAAATAGGAGCGCTCACACAGAAACATCACTGCTCACCTGTTTGCAAATGTTCAACAGTCGGCGTTCTCCCAACAAGGAAATTATCCAGCTGTTCTCTCAAACCCAGAAAATCTAATGTGCGATACAACCATGTCAACACGCAGCGAAAACGAAAATACAGTCGTGGTCACACCAGACCAGATTATGCCACCTTTCAACAGGTGCTTCCAAAGGCTCTCTGGAGCTGAGTGGAGCATGATAGAAAGTGGCACATGCGACTCAGGCGTCCGAGCGGTGCTCGCTGATATGATTTGTGAAATCATTCAGACCGCCTCTAGCAGAATCCTCAAAAATGCCCTTCCTGTTATTCAGGATCGCATGATGAAGGAAGATCCGGAGCCTTTAGGTGCGGGGAAAATAAGCCCGTCCCTCGGAGACTCCATCTCAGCTGCCATCGCCGGCGCTCTTAACGTCCTGGAACAGCGACCTGAGAGCACTGACGAGCTGACACGGATGGTTGAGGAAGAGATCTCCGAAAAGGTCAGCTCAACGGTCAAACTCGTTAGAGAAAGCCCCGATCTCCCGCAAGACCCCGCCGTTTATGTCAGCGGCAAATGTAGTGATATTAAAAAGCTGCACCGCATGGTTTGCCACGCTGCCTCGTGCCTTAAAAGGCACGCGCGTGAGCTGTCGAGCGGCTCTGATTCCGGTACAGAAAGTACGGATTCAAAGATGTCCGTGCAATCAGCAATCAAAGAGATTTCTGTGATTCTGTCATCAAGGAGCTCAGATGGAGAGATGACAGATGAAGATGAGGAAGAAACTCTAACAGAAAAGGACGAAACAAAACGAGCCGCAGGAAGCCAAAGTTTCCGGGCTGCAACCCCAGTAGAAGTGGTTGCAGCTGACATCGTAAATGAGATCATTGGCGACATGGATGTAAGCAGCGAAGAGCCCTGTGAGAGGAGTCCTGCCTTTAATGCAGGATTAATTACCAACAAGCTGAGAGACTTCTTCTCCAGATGTTTGCAATCCACCTCTCACTCCCGGCTCAAAGCACGCAAACAGCGCTTTTCCATGTTTGCCAGAAAACAATTTGAAACAACGAAAAAAGACCTGAGAAAAGTAATAAAGGCAAACAGAAAATTTCTTGTTTGTCTGAAAAACATTTGCAAGGACCCCAAAGGTGACACGGTGCCCTCTGATAACAGTACGGTTTCCAGCCGAAACACACTGCTCCGTTACATACGCTCCTCTCCCGTCGACTTCGACGCGATTAGATCAGACGTTAATCAGTTGTATGAGAAATTAACAAAGGAAGAAAAACTCTTCAGCATCCACAAAACAGTGGAAAACTTTAGAACTGGTGGAGCAACCAGAGATTTCACTGTGGAGTTAACGGCAAAAATGTTTGATCTACTTATGACGGATCGACGGTATCAAGTCCCCGAACCTGTAATGGGTAGATCCCTGTCTGACACCGTCATCTGCAGGACTCCACAACCAGCACATGGATCCAAGCCTCCCTTTTCTGCTGAAGTCCTCTATGTGCTCGTAGAAGACGCAGTAGAAAAGTTTGTACAAAAACTTTTACTCTGGGTGGAGAACGAAGACGAAGATCACCTGATTGAGGACAAAATTTCTGTGGCTGTGGAAGAAATCCAGAACATTATTAAAAGAACGAAGATCCCAACAAAGGAAACCAGCACAGATTCAGATGGAAGTGGAAGAGAATCTGTTCCGACACCTGTAACACCAAAGTCTGGGAGCAGTACCCCAGAAACATGCTCTCTGGTACCTTATCAGTCACCTGATCAGTCACCTGATCAGTCACCAAAGTCTGGGAGCATTACCCCAGAAACATGCTTTGTGGTACCTTTTCAGTCACCTGATCAGTCACCTGATCAGTCACCAAAGTCTGGGAGCAGTACCCCAGAAAGATGCTTTGTGGTACCTTTTCAGTCACCTGATCAGTCACCTGATCAGACACCTGATCAGTCACCAAAGTCTGGGAGCAGTACCCCAGAAACATGCTTTGTGGTACCTTTTCAGTCACCTGATCAGTCACCAAAGTCTGGGAGCATTACCCCAGAAAGATGCTTTGTGGTACCTTTTCAGTCACCTGATCAGTCACCTGATCAGTCACCAAAGTCTGGGAGCAGTACCCCAGAAAAATGCTTTCTGGTACCTGATCACTCACCTGATCAGACACCTGATCAGACACCAAAGTCTGGGAGCATTTCCCCACAAAAACGCTCTGCCAGTGTTTCAGGCTCACCCAAGGATTCCTCTGACATGTCAGAGATGAGGTCTGTATCAGCGTCATCTTCTGATGCTGAGAAAATTTCCAGTGACCTCGCCGTTCTCCTCATGATGAGAGTCATCAGAAAATCCAAACCTGAAACTCAGCACTTTTTTGCCAGGGCAGCATGTACTACAAAAGAACCTGACGCGATCCTCAAGCGTCTGAGAGATCTGATGCAGCCTGAACTCAGCAGCACAGAGTCCGTCACAAGTCTGATGAAGGACAAGAAAAAGTTCATCAAGAAAATGACCAAATGCCTCATCAAGGAGTTTGGCTCCCCAGACACTGTGTTAAAGGCTGCGATGGCAAAGGATGCGTCTTTTGATGAGGTTCTGACAAAGCATCTAAAAATGCGCCTCGGAGTCATCCCCGGTCCTCCCAAAAAGTCCAAAATTTCCAGGTTTTTTTCAGCGTTGGGAAAAACTCTGCGAAAACCCTTCAGGTGGTTCACTGAAGCCAGAGATGATTGAAATGACCATCCTGGCTTTTCCCCGCCGCCCTGCTTCTTTTAACATCTTGAAGCAGAATTTTAGTACCAAATCCAAATTCTAACAACTGTAGTTCACGCCATCTCGTCTCCTTTTTGATTTCCATCCCCCCCAACCGGTCGCAGCGGATGGCCGTCCCTTCTGAGCCCGGTTCCGTTGGAAGTTTCTTCCTGTTAAAAGGGAGTTTTTCTTCCCCACAGTCGCCTCGTGCTTGCTCAGAGGGGGATCGTTTGATTGTTGGGGTTCTCTGTAGTACTGTAGGGTTTTGACCTTACAGTACAAACAGGGAGGAGACTTTGTGATTTGGTGCTTGATTATGCAAAATATCTAATTTGGCATAAAATAAAAATTTAAAATAATTAAAAATACATTCCAACTTTGTTTGTGTTCTTCTTCTGTTGTCAAATATGTAGAAAGTGTTGCACGTGTGATTTTAGTCATTTAGCATCAACATGTAGCCAACATGTGTCTGTTTGTGATCCTGCTGCATCTGTTTTTGTCTGATTTGTGTCTTACTTTAGTCAATTTACATCTATTTTGTGGCCCAAATGTGTGGATCCTGTGTGACATTGCTCTGTTTTGTCTTAATGCTTCACTTTGGTTGTTGATGTTTGTGCTCATTTTGATTCTAGATGTAGACCTACCATCTGAAAATTAGCACCTCACCCACTTGTAGCATTTTTTCTTTAGTCCAGGGGTTAACACATTTTTTCTTTCAAAAAGGGGAAATACCTCGGTTACTTTACTACTGACCACAGAAACGATGACATATACAGACAAAGATGTAAGCTCTATGTGCAGGCAAATACTGTTTGACACAAATTCAGCTTTTGTTTAAGTGATTTTGTTGATTTATGTTTGTTGCATACCGTTATATACTGCCCCCTTGTGGTCAGGAGACCTAGAGGGGGTAGTGCCAGCCAGATGTTTGTAGCTGTGGGTGTTTGGACTTTTAAAGCACTTTGAAGAAAGTTAATGTTCACTTTTAGAGAACGACTGGATGGCTCTAGTAACAGAGTCATTTTAGCGCTCACAGATCCGACAGTGAGTGGTTCCTGTTACTCATGCAGTCTGAGGAAGCAGCGGTTGAAGTGTTTGTGTATTTATTGATTTCTTTTAAGTCACTGTGTATTTGATGTACATTATGGTTTATAAGTCCTGTCAGCCCTGTGCTGAGAGGGCTGTGCTCATCCATCCGTCCTGTTCTAATAAAGCCAAATTTCAGGAACACCTTCTTTAGATCTGTTCAGTTTTATTTAGAGATGGACCGATCCGACATGACGTATGGGAATCGATCCGATACTGACCTAAATTACTGGATCGGACATCGGAGAGAAATAAAAAAATGTAATCCGATCCATTAAATATAATGAAAGTACCTCACAAAACTTGCGACATGGCGTAACTCGGAGCACGTCGGAGCAGTATGTGTCACGTGATAGAGCGGCTGTAGCGTGCGAGACCTGACGGCGGTCTGGTTGAGCATTTGGAGTTAGGGCGATTTTAGCCCATTTTTGGGGGTGCTGAAGCATTAATGATATATTTTTATGTGGTTCAGCCACAGCTCTGCTAAAACCTCAGCCAGTAACAGGTCGGCCAACGTTTGGACCGTCCAGTTGTCTGCATGACTGCCGCAGTACGTGCATCACATGTGTTCACTATCAGAAAGAGCCAAACAGCCCTGGTGGAGCGAGCAGCTGTAAAGAGAAGCAGATGCTCTGTTTCTAAAAGTGTTTTAAGCTTGTTTCAAAGATTCTGTACAGCAGCTTTAAATGTTTTCCAAAAGCACACAGACACTTATCAGTGTTTCTCACACTTGTTACAGTGTGGACCACCTGATAAAAGGTCAAGCTGTCCCAAGCACCACCATGAAAGCATGAAAGTCATAATTCTTACAACACAAAATTAGTTTTACTAAATGAGTAAAATTAGCATCTGCAGTAAAGATGTTTTCATACATTTTATTCATTCTACCACAGCAAAGTTGCCTCTATTTTTATAGTTTTTATTAATATTTTGAAATAATTTATTTGTAAAAATGTATTCTGTTTTTTTATGTATCTGTATTATACTGTTTACTTCTTACTCACTGTGAGCATCGTTCATTATTCTCCCAGTAACTAAGGTTAGCATATGTATGTTTTCTATTCCAATCCATTCTTCTTTAGCAGCATTTAAATAACCTTTATCAGATTTGATGGTTTTGTTACAGACTTTTCAAAAAAGTGTTTTTCTTTTCTTTCACAAATGTGGATTAAATTGTGTTCAAATGTGCAAAACAGTGATGTCATGTTTTGTGACGAGGACCCAGGCACAGAGAGACTTGATGAATTTAAGAATCTTATGATTTAATAAAGAAATTTGCAGACTTGCACAGAGATGGTAAAATTATGATGACTGATAGCGGAGACAAAGATAACAGACGATGAGGACAGGGAGGAACAGGGGTTTAAATGCACCAAGGAGACATTCAGAGACAACTCTGGACAACTGGAGACATTTAAGGATGCAGGGACTGACAGAGACGGGGAAGACGTCTCATCGTGACGAGTAAAGTTGATCTTGCCTGGCTGGGCAGCTGTCTGGGTGCTCAGCACCCCCAAAGCTCTGATCCTAGAATCGCCCCTGATTTGGAGCCTCGCTACCAACCCGGCATTTCATCTCCGACAAAGTTATCGCAGAGAGAAGTAAAGCAAGTGTGTAAGTTCATCTCTGAATGTTTGTAAAGCATTCCCACGTTAAGCTTAACTGATATACGGAGCGACTGCCTCCCCCTCCCTCTCCTGTTGCTGCTTCAATCATGATCAATGATCAGCTGATCGTCTCTCTTGTTTGTTTTTGGCCCACTTTGCACCAGAAAGAGGAAACCAGTGGCTGAACAACAGCAGCACGTTTAAGCTTGATAAGCTGCTGTTAGAATTTATTTAATATTACTTTCTACACCAGGATCCTTTTCTACGCAGCTGACGTAACTGTGCAGGGGCGGGTCTAGCATGGTTTAGCCAGGGGGGCCGATAGGGCAGTAACAGGGAAAAGGGGGCACAAAGACATACTTTTCTTTCTTACTCTCATTTAAAATGTCGAGCTTTTAATAAATAATTATCTGAATCTGACACCCAAAGTAAAATGTATAGTATATATATATAATGTATAGTGGGGATCGGTGTTCTTACGCCCATTTGCTGGGAGTAAGGGCGCCCTCCGTTTGCAAGGTGCGCCTGCTGCTTGCGGCACAGGGAGGAGAGGGCGGGGCGACAGGGGATTCTCTGGTGGCTGGAGCAGCATCTAATAACCAACTCACAAAATAAAACAAAATAAAAACAAAACAACAAACATGAAAACACCAGACATCATGATGCAGACTTATAATTTGCACCGATGTTTTTTCAAAATTCTTTGAAGTGAGCGCGAGAGCCCTCGGTGCGCCTGCTCGCTGCTGAAGTCAAAGTAAACTTTATTGTCATCTCCGCTACAGACAGTCCAGCATATAGAGACGAGATGACGAGGCTCCAACTACAGTAGTGCAAGGAAACAAACAATAAACATAAGAACAGTAAGAAAATAAATGTACACTTTAGGACTCGGGGTAAAGGATCAATGACAATTTATAATTTATAGTTTGATGATTTAAAGTCTCACACACAACCTGTCAAAAGGGGAGGGGCCAGCTGCTTCCAAGTAGAGCACATTTCATTCATAATGATGTAAATCCAAATCCATTATGTATTCATGATTTGAATCCTGGGTTGTGTGAAATCCCAGAAATGCGTCTTAGACAAAGTGAATCTGTGAACTAAGGTGTAGGTGTGTTAGATCATGTTGTGGTGATCCTCGGGTTGAGGGATGGGTGTTCATACTGGAGTGCAAAATTAAAACCAATGGAAGATGGACAAGAAAAGTTCAAAGTCATCAGGTCCTCAGTTTAGAAAAAAGAGAAAAGAAGAGGAGGAGAAACGAGCAAAAGATGCAGGTAAGCAGATGTGTGATTGGATGATGGCAGCTCATCCTGAACCAATCAGAATCAGAATACTTTATTAATCCCTGAGGAAATGATGTGCGTTACAGTTGCTCCAAGAAGAAATGGTAAAAATAGTAACAGTAACAAACTGAACTCCAAACAACACATTATGTTACAGATTTTAATATTAATTAGTGATTGTCAGTTGTTGATTTGTCCTGTTCTCATACAATGCATACTCTCTCTCTCTTCATGTGTGTGTGTGTTTGTGTTTCTCTGGTGAATTTCGACAACAGTTTTATGTTAATGTACAATCCTTAATATGTTTTATGTGTCTGTTTGTGTGTGTGTGTGTGTGTGTGTGTGTGTGTGGGGGGGGGGGGGGGGGTTCGCCCGGGGCGCCAAACAGGCTAGGACCGCCACTGGAGAGAACAAGCAGGTGTCACAATAAGATGCCGCACGAATCATTGGTGTCAGTGAAGAAAATGAGTTTGTGGCCACGAGACAGAGAACAGCACAGGGACAAAGCTGCAGGCCTGACAGCAGGACGTGCATCACTGCTCCTGTTTCCACCTGGAGACAGTGTTTGCACTGCAGCCTTTGTCACATTCATTAGTGCCCTCACTGACACACAACACACACACAACACACTAAACATCACAAATCCCGCCCTCTCTCTCTCTTCCTAAACAACCACGTGTTGTCGGGGTTTTTTTTTCAATTGGTCGACATGGTACATTTTTCAACCAATAGGAAAGAGGCAGCATTTTTCTTTCTTTACTGTTTTTCATGCTGTCCTTAGAAAATGCTTCATTTTTTAACAATTTCTTGCAGCACAAACGTATCGATAGAATTCAGAGAAAAGCATCGCTTATATATTTTTTTATTCTAATAAAATAAAATGTGAAAACTGACGTATAGTTTGAAGGTCTTTCAACACAGCTTGTTGCTTTGTCAGCTTAAATGCTACTGACAGCAAGAAGTAACAGTATGCAATATATTCAGTTTGTGTCGCCTCAGCTTCATGTGACCACAGAGGAAGCAGCAGATTGGTCGCAGGAAGTAAACAAGGTGAGAACACCTGGGGAGAGCTCCTGACGTAAGCTCCTCCCCTGCATTTGTCAGTGCGCCTGCGCGTTCGTTGTTTTTAGTTTCCATGGAAACACGGAAGTCCGCCATTCAGAGTTGCTGCAGGTAAACAACAAATCAAATCAAATCACTTTTATTGTCACATCACATGTGCAGGCACACTGGCACAGCACATGCGAGTGAAATTCTTGTGTGCGAGCCCCACAAGCAACAGAGATGTGCAAACACAACAACACAAACGAGCAACAAATCATCGCTCCAGTTTATTTACCTGGTTAAATGGTTCATTTAAAAACCCAAATATCGCGAGATGACGCGGCAGCTTTTCCGCTACTCGAGATCCTCAGAACTTCACTATCGGACACTTTTAGCTCTTTTTCTCCTTTTTTCGTCTCCGCCGTCGGTTTTACGGGAACAAACGAGCTGATTAAAGCAGCGGATACAAACAGCTGATAAGCTTCCGGTTGTCGTATCCTCCACCCGCGCATGCTCTAAGCTCGAGAAAACAGTTGTTTAAAAAGACATGATACTGGTACAAGGGTTCCATTAACGGACAAAGCGATTGAGTGTGTGCATTTATGGGTCCGGTCACATTTTCAAAATAAAACCAATTTCCTGAAATGTTTTCAAAATAAAATAACTCCTCTGATGAAAGCCTTAACAGTTTTCTGCTTCACTTCTCTCACTCTGGGATGGATTTGATTTTTTCTTAGACCTTTTTGGTTTCTTCTTCTTTTCAGAATGAAAGAAATACCACATCTGTGATTTTATTTTACTCTGTCTTTAGAAATTAATCTATGATCCCCTCTGTGAATCGCTACCTTATCATGGTGGAGGGTTTTGTGTATCCCAGGAATCCCAGGGGCTATGTTGTCAAATGACAAATTGGTCCTGGGTGAAGGACCAGACAAAGAGCTATTCAGAAACCCTCATGAGTGAAAAGCCTAGGAAACAGTTCAACGTGTCTGAGATAGGGTTGCCGGGGTCCCGCCCTGGAGCCAGGCAGGAAAGGACTTGGGCTCACAATCCTGTAGGCCCACCACCCTCAGAAGGTGGCTTAGGGGTTGCATGCAGTGTGCTGGGTGGCGACCAAGGGTGGAGATCCTGGTAGACCAATGCCCGGCTATCGAGACATGAAACGTCACCTGTCTGGTGTGGAAGGAGCGTGAGCTTATGCGTGAGGTTGAGAGGTTTCAACCAGATGCAGTGGGTTGGATCAGGTGGCCAAGGAGGATGTTGGATAGACCCAATGTGCCTAAATGTATACTGAGGGTACACTGGAAATGCCTAGCAGAGCCCACAGTCCGGGAGACTCCCATCCCTGGCAGAGAGTTGACAGCATTCCAAGGGAAACACTGAGTTTGAATGCACCATGTTCAGCCCCGCCATTGCTGAAGCTGCTGCACTGAGCTGGGGCTGCAAGGTGGTTGGTGCCTGTCATGGTGCTAACCACAGAAGATGGTGGACATCAGAGGTAAAAGGAACCATCGTGCTAAAGAAGGAGTCTTATCAGGCTTGGTTAGCCTGTGGGACTTTGGATGCAGCTGATAACCATCAGGCGACTCGGGAGGGGAAAGCGGTGCTCTACCTGTACTGTGTATATTGCGGCTGTAGCGTTACTGATTACGACTGAGGATATTGTCGGGTGGTGGAAGGAACATGACACGTATTTCGTCCTGGCCGTGGAACACTGGACCAGTGAATTACTGTGGAGGGCCAGTGTGAACACACAGACGTGATACATGGATATCATTTTCCCATTCGGGGAAGTCGAACTGCGCTTTTAGTGACTCTGAGCTCTCCGTCGCCTCTTCTTATTCCACAGGTGAGCTGACAGGATGCCTCGGTTCCAGGAGGTGGCAGCCAGCCAACCTTTGACCCCCGGAGGCGGTGGTCTGGTCGCTAAGCGATACAGCATCCTGCAGAATCTGGGCCGAGGAAGTTTTGGTTCGGTTTTTCTGGTTCAGGATGCCAAAGCTGCAGATGGAGAGAAGCTGTGAGTAGCTTTGAATCATCTTGTTGGCATCTGGATGTTTTTGCTGCTTTTTAATCCCAATTAGATTTGATTGTTGGATAAAAAAAATTACATTTATTTAACACGTTTCAATAAATACATACATATATATGCTTTAGTGTAGAAAATAGGTTACATAGAGAACATATTTAGAGTAATAAGTAAAATTAGTGATAAAGGCACATTAAGACAAACAAAATGAATTTAAAAATGAGTAAAAACATAAAAACTGTGAAAGTGTTTACGATCTATTTATAAACGTTTGCTTCCTCTTGAGTGGATTTGTAAATGTTTGATGGTAATATTTGGAACGTTTGGACTTTTGCTGATGGAGGCCTCGCACTCGAGCTCAGAGGACACAGAGCAGTGCTGAAGCTGCAGGACAGAAACAGTTCTGCAGACGGACACTAGATGGCGATATTGGCTTGTACATGCTTGCACTGTAGCTCCTTCAGCAGATGTGCTACAGTCTTTGAGCAGTAAAATCAATCAGGCTGATTAGTGATCAGAGATCACCCACCTGTTCAGCTCCTGCCACCGAGCAGCTTTAACTGAACTACGTCTAAGCTCACTCAGACTGTTGTCTTCAGACGCTGTGCTGTGGCTCGAGTGGCAGTGCAAGGTGGAGGATTTGGAGGTCTGAAAATCACCTTTAGTTACTGACAGTGTTGGCTTCACGTAATGAAGCCGTTTGTGTGATTACAGACAGAGTCAAACAAAAGGTAGGTGTTTTATTTTTGGAGAATTATGAACTGGATCTTTGGACCTTGTTTGTGCTGTTTGAGCCTTTTGGAGCATTTTTAATTTGATTATATCGTACTGGCAGAACTCAGAGGCCCTGACTCTCTGAGGGTTCAGTGCCTACGCTGGATTCCTGGTTTGAGACTGGGAGAAGATGCAAACCCACCCTCGGTATTTGACAAGCTGATGTACGGCTAGTGCTGGTTCCAAACTGGGATAATTGCATCAGAAACAGCATCTGGGGGAAAATCTATGCCAAATCAAACACGTGGATCAATCTGCTGTGGCGACCGCGGGGAAATAAGGGCGCTGATGAAAGTTCTTCCATGAGGGACCATGAAACTGCTCAGGTGTATGCTCTGTATCACCAAAGCTTAGTTTTATGTACTGGCTATTAAAAAAGAGCAAAAAAGAATTGTGCACATCATGAGTTTTGCGCTGTCGTCCTCACCCTTGGGATTTTATCTCTTCTTCGCTGCTTTCAGCTCTTCTTCCTGCTCTCATGCTTTGTTTCCTCCTGTTTGTGCGAGGAACCTGTCTGTGGATGTTAGCAGAGACGGTGAGTCAGCTGACGGTACACTCATTCACGTCTGTGTGGAGCGAGCTCGGCGAACAGAGCCGCCTCCTTCCCGTCACACAGAGCTCAGTGGGATTGCACTGCGGCTCGTTGCTTTGAGGCTGCGAAATAGTTCCAGCAGAAGAAGATGTGAGAACATGAACTGGTCTCACTGGTTTCCTTCAGCTGCTTGTCGTCATCACAAAGATTTTCTTTGTGTGCGAGTTCAACAGCGGTGAGCTGTCAGTCGTAAATGCGACTTTGAACAAACGCATAATTAAATACATCACAGATAAGAAGAGACACCAAACCTGTGCTCGGGATGCATTCAGCAGCTGGTGACTGCGAGCCTTTCATGAGCTGAACGTAGCATCTCTGTCCTTTCTGTCCGAGCTGAAGCGGCTCTGATTCACAGAGAGTCAATCTGACGTCTTCTTCTTTCATGTGCACTTAACGTGGCCGGACTCTTTAATAACAAACACACTTATGCGTGTCAGACATTCATTTATGAAATGATCAAAATCGAGTAACATCTGTTATTAAAGCGTACCTTATCCATGGACCAGCTTTGGATGATTGAGCGTTTAAAACAGTTCCTATCCTTGTTATAGTGCACGATTCATCTCGAAACAAGTCATTTTAGCTCCTGTTGTTCGCTCCCCTCCCTAAAAATATGCTTTACTGTGACTGGTCAATTACTGGAAGCCTGCTGAGGGGCAGCACCCAGTTCTTCTGAGCTCTAACAAAGAAAAAACTTCCATTCCAAAGACTTCCTGCTTCATGATGTTGATAATGAGTGGAGCCCAAAAATGTCATTTTCACGTGACAAACATTGTTAACATTTGGCTCCCTCGTTTTATTATTAGAAAGAACTGATCAAATAAGGATGAGAGCACGGAGTAACGAACTTGCTAATACTAGCAGACTTTGTTAGTGACTTCTAGCCGTCAGCCTTGTGCATGTGTGCGTGCAGATACTTGCAAACTTGTGCTAACTCAATAAAATGGGAGAATTTCTATCAGAAAGCTGGAGCATGGACGTCTTTGGTAGCGTGTTTGTACAGTTAACCACACAGCAGGGATTTCATTGGACAATTATATTAAATACTTTCAATTGCAGAACAAGGAGAAGCCCAGCAGGCAGGTAGGAGCTGCCTGCCCTCCATCCATCTGTCAGTCAAAGAGACCTCGCCCTTTTTGAGATGGCCACGCCTCCCCGAGTCTGGTTCTGCTGGAGCTTTCTTCCTGTTGAAAGGGAGTTTATCCTTTCCATTGTCACCAAGTGTTTGCTCAGAAGGGGGTGTCTGAATTTTGGGGTTTTCTCTATATTATTGTAGGCTGCTTATCTTACAATATAAATCAGCCTGAGGTGATTACTGTTGTGATTTGGTGCTATGGAAATAAAACTGGGTCGACTGTTGGCCTGAAGTGTCCCAGGACAGGAGGACTAGGGGGGATGAATGCTGTGTTAGCCTGCATGGATCGCTTGCAGCTGCAGTATTAGAGGAAGTTTAGGATTCAGAGATGTAATCAAGAGTAAAGTTTTTCTGACTATGCTGAAATACTTCTAATCACACCTTATTATTTGTGCTGTGCTGATGTAGAGATCTGAGGTCCTTATTAATCAGCTCAGATGGAGACACTCACAGGAAATACCTGACACAAGTACTGATAACATATCTCTTCTATCTCTGTCCTATCTGCGTCTACCTCCATCTCATCACTCCTCTCGTTTTCCATCGGTCACGCTCTGTCGCTTCCTCGCCAACCCTGACACACACACACACACACACACACACACACACACACACACACACACACACACACACACAGTCACGCCTTCATCATCAAGTTGATGTTACAGTCGTGTACATTCATCATCAGGAGGATAACCTTAAACCCAGTCTTCATCCCAAGATGCACCTGCACTTATACAGATTCGCTCTTTGTCCCCAAAACGAGACGTGCTCCCACAATGTGTCCAACAGATTTAAGTCCCCACAGACTCTGTGATACAAGTACAAACAAACACGCGCACTCTTCAGTCCAGCCAGGGAGGATGACAGCATGCTCAGGCAGTTTTACAGCAGGACGAGGACCTGAGAAATCCTCACCGCCTTCATGTTTATCACGTCTCTGACTCCTCACCTCAGTGACTGAACACATGAATGGTCGAGTGGGCGACACACACAGGGATGCAGCATGCTGTCCTTCCAGCACATCTTTCTGTCATCTCCAAACCAGAATCCAACGGCCAAAACTCAGCAGCAGAGTGCGTTTTGTGTCTGTGGTCAAATGTCCATGTTTGTGAGGACGGGTCATCGTGTTAGACCTTCTAAGGACTTTATCTCTGGTCACTTTGGGACTCAAAGGACTGTTTGTGGGTTTGGATCAGATCAGGTTAGAATCAGATTTACATTAAAGTGACAGGAAAGACTTTTTTAGAAAATTGTTTCTTTTCAGGAAGAGAAACTTCCTGTGAGAAAGTGGACAAACGCTGAGACTGGTCACATGTTTACATCCACTCGTAATGGGCATGAATGTCATGGTAAATTTACGCTTTTAATGATTTCTTTGAACATTTATTTTCCTTTGCTGGAATCTTTACAAGAATTGATTTTTAAAAAATATATGTTTCATTATTTTGGATTTTCTCTGAAGCAAACGGGGTCAGAGTGAACGTACAGCCAATATTTGTTTAAACGTTCATTAGGAAGCTGCACCTTGACCAGACTTCTGTCGGGGTTTTGTCCACCTTCTCAGCAGAATTATCACGGTCTGTGTGCGGCAGGCAGGACCCAAGTGCAGGACTCAAGACGGCCAACGTAAACTCAGCTTTATTTGCCGGACGGCAAACAAACAGAAAACTAACTAGACTGGAATCATAACAAGGCGTCTCCAGCAGCCAGAACACAGACAGATATGAGGGTACAACATGACAGAGGGCGAGCAAAACACAGGGTTAAATAGACACCAGAGTAATCAGGGAACGGGAGACAGGAGGGGCACACAGCTGGGAGAACTTAGACCGAACGAGACAAGGGAAGCAAAAGCAGACACACTGCAAACAGGACAGGAAGTATCAAAATAAAACAGGAAACACAACAGGAAGAGGCATGGACTTGACACCGATCAAAGGGAACACAGAAACAAAACGTAAGAACTAAAATCCCAGAACAAAGAACTACTAGAGCTAGAAACACAGAACCATAAACCAAAAGACTAAACACTGTCACTGACCAGGACCGTGACACGAATTGGTCAGGTTCATTTAAAGATGATTGTTCCCTGGTACAGATTCGGCTTTTAAGTGTAGTTGTAACAGCGTGGAGGTCGGGGAGGACCATGTATTGTTAGCCTGATTCCAAAACCTCTTCTGATGTGTGTTTGAATACGGCTGAATTAAGATTTGTGGCCTACACTCAAAACTCAGGTCTGTGCCGAGAAACCAGCTCAGTGTGCTTATGTATGCAGACACAATTATGCTTGTTGTTGTTGTTAGTGGGGCTGTATGTACATGTTGATGCTGTGTGGAGAAGAGAAATCTAAACGAATTTCATATTTGTGTACCAAATTCCTGCTTTTTAAAATCGTGTAAGCTGTACAGTCATTCCAGTCCAGGAAAAGAACAGATTAAAGAAAATGATTAAAAAGCCAAAATGACCACGACATTCGTGCCCATGAAG